TTATTATAAAATTCAAATTGACTCTGAAATTTAGAGGAAACAGATGAAGTAGAAATGTGTGAATAAAATCTTCCAAACCCCACAAAAAGTGTTTAAAAGAAGGGGATTAAAAACCCTATAAAATGTTTACTGTGCCCTTTATGATTATTGGATAAAATGATGTGAGTGATAAACTTACTGCTTTTTGGGGGTGTGTGGGGTACAGTGTTTGTGTACATTCAGGATGGGGGTAGGAAAGCCAACTGCTGAGAAATGTTTGACAAGCAGCCAGGGGTGAGAGGATGCTCTCATTTGTAGCATTTGCTGATTTCTGGGGTATAAATAAATACTCCCACTATTGCTGGTTGAAAGCTATCCATATGACACTGTTGAACCTGGAGTTGGGAAGAGATAGATATACAGTAGCACAATTATATAGTACTGCAATCATGCAGACACAGTCAACAGAAATAAACTTGATCAGTTATAATAGTAAAATTTATTAAACACCAATAAATTCTGGCTATTTATCATCTTAACATTTAATGTAATTTAAGTGGTAGGGTTATAAGATGTTTAATTTTTAATATGGTTGTGTTTAGCAGCTGGTTAGGAATGTTTTTTTTTTTTGCTGGTACTGGAATTTGAACTTAGGGCCTTGTGTGCCCTTGCTTGGCAGATGCTCTACCATTTGGCTCTAGCTTGGCTGGTTCAGAAAATGTTAATATTAGTCTCTGAGATGGGTGTGTTCTTTGATCTCTGCTGCCTATTGTTGATATGCTATCAGGTTTTATTGGACTCTTAAGCCTGATGGCTCAGTCTCCCATCTTTATTTTCATATAAAGATTTTGCTTCTTATGTGAAGCATGTAGTCCCATTGGATTTCAGTCTCAAGCAATAATTTTTCTGTCTGGGTAGAACAAGGATCTAGGTGACTCTTGAGGGCCCAAGGATTGTTCCTCAAGGGAGTAAGAATTGTGTGGGAAGGCAGAAGGGAAGCCTGAGCTGCTGGTACCAGGGCCAAATTTGAACTCAGGGCATCCTGCTCTTCCTTAGTCTTCTCACTTAAGGCTGAAGCTCTCTATTTGAACTCAGGGCATCCTGCTCTTCCTTAGTCTTCTCACTTAAGGCTGAAGCTCTCTCACTTACGCCATGCCTCCACTTCTGGCTCTTTGGTGGTTAATTGGAGATAAAAGTCTCATGGACTTTCCTAAGGGGGGGTGCTGGCTTTGAACCTTAATCCTTAGATTTCAGCTTCCCCGAAGTTGCTATGATAACAGGAACGAGCCACATGTGCTTGGCAACTTCCTTGAGGATGAGCTATGTAGGGACAGAGCGGTGACACTTTTCACAGAGTGATTTGGACCGCTGCTCAAATGAATTAATGTTCCAACTCAAGTGACTCATTTTGTAGGAACATTAAGTTCACAGCCAATTTGTCAATATAAGAAAACTATCACTTCATTTTTAACTCAAAAATATTGCTTAAATTTTATGGGTTATAATTCCCACTTTGGCAAAAGATTGATTGAAATCATGAACATGATGCTGGAGCTATGCTGGCACCGTGTCCAGCGCGGGTGCCATGTTTTCAGAATGACGAGGAGACTGGAAACTCATCTGAGGACTAGTTGAAGAAATTGACTTTTTTTTTTCTCCACAGGAGTCTAAAGGACGATATATCTTCTTACAAATATTTGAAAGATTGCCACAGTGGTAAAAGGAATTAGAACTTGTTTCTAAAATTATTGTGGTAGACATGAAAGCAGGGAGGAAGGAAGCCTCACTTTTTGACCTGGCTTTATCCCTTACAAGTTAGTAAATTATATTCACCCTCTAAACCTCAGTTTCTTTGTCTATCAAATGGTATGCACTCATTTCTCATACTAAGAGGTCAGACTCCCAAATAGTCCTCATTAGGCTGCTGGGGGCTGTATTCTCTGTGGGACTCCAGGACAAAATGCATTTCCTCATCTTCTCTAGGTCACCTTCATTTCTTGGCTCACCTCCCTCTCCCTCCCCCCCCCATCTTCAAAGCTGTTGAAATTCAGCTTTTTTTTTTTTACAAAATTGGGCCCAAATCTGATTCACTCTTTATATTCCCCCTCCCCTGGTCAAGTTTTAAAGACTCATGTGTTTATATTGGATATCTCCAGATCATTCAGGATAATGTCCCATTTCAATCAGTCTTAATTTCATTTGTAAACTTCATATTAAACATATGTACAGATTCTAAGGATTGGGATGTGAACATCTTTAGGAGCCCCATTATGCTATCATGTAAGGACAGTGTTGCAAAGAAAAAAAAAAGAACTGAAAAGAGTGCATTATAGAGTTCTTGTCATGGCAGAAAAACTTAGCCAATATGAATATCCATTATCATTATTATTATCTTTAAAAACAATCTGTGGCCTGGTGCCAGTGGCTCATGCCTGTAATCCTAGCTACTGAAGAGGCTTGGATCTGAGAATTGTGGTTGGAAGCCAACCTTGGCAAGAAAGTCTGTGAGACTATTAACTCCAATTAACTACCAAAAAAAGCCAGAAATGGAGCTCTGGCTTGAGTGGTAGAATGCTAGTTTTGAGGGGGAAAAAAGCACAAGGACAGTGCCCAGGCCCTGAGTTCAAGCCCAGGACTGGTCTACAAACAAACCAATCTTGTTAGATTTCCAAGGTTACCTTAACAAAGTGCCACAAAGTAGATAGCTTAAACAATAATAATTGATTTTTCTCACAGTCCCAGAGATAAGAGTCTGAAATGAAGCTGGGCGCTGGTGGCTCACCGCTATTATCCTTAGCTACTCAGGATGCTGAAATCTGAAGTCCTAAATCAAAGCCAACCCAAGCAGGCAAATGCAGAAGACTCTTATCTCCAATTAACCAGTAAAGAGCCAGAAATGAAGGTATGGCTCAAGAGGCGGAGTGCAAGTCATGAGTGAAAGTAAGAGGTTAGGATATAACCCCCAGCATAGCATAAAAAGAGACAAAAACAAGAACAACAAAAACTCTGGAAAGTATTGATGAAAGAAATTGCAGAAGTCACTAGAAGATGAAATGACCTCCTATGTTAATTAATCAACACTCTGTGTGTGTGTGTGTGTGTGTGTGTGTGTGTGTGTGTGTGTGTTGTATATGCATATGGCACTACTAGGATTTGAACTCAGGCCTCCAGTTGACTAGGCAGATACTCTGTCAATTGAGCCATGTTTTCCACATTTTCATGCTTCTCCCCCACACCCTCATTTTTCATGTAAGCCACTTTTCTTCCACCTCATGAAACAGTAGGCAATGGAAAAGAATTACCCTACTTTGTTAAAAGTAAAGCTTGGCCATCTGCTTGTTAAGTGCTTTAGCTTCTTAATCTATAGTATGAGAATAATAATCCCAGTTTCTTGGGTTTAGAGAGGATATAATGCCACAATGCAGGTAATGTAGTACAGAATAGAGCTGGGTGCACAGTAATAACTGCTAATGTTTATTAAATGTTATTATCTACTGGTGCTCAGATATATTGACATTCTTCTTCTTTGTTGAACAGGGTAAGTTAGAGTTTCTTGTCGGAATTAGATTTGGCTTTGAAATATTATAAAGCAAGGAGCTGCTCACTGTGTCTGATTTGTAATAGGCGCTCATGTGAAACTGTCCTATGGGCTGGGGGGTGATGCTCAATAGTAGTGTGTTTGCCTAATGTGCTAAAGCCCTGAGTTTGATTCTTGGCACTGCAGCAAACAAGCATTAAAAGCATTTCTTGTCCTTTGCTCCCTCTCCCTTGTGATTGTCTTCTGCCTTTCCCAATCTTTTCTTTGCTGAAGAGAAGTCCTTTCTTAGGTTTGAGTGACCTTCAGATACTTCTGGCTCCCTCTTCAGATGCTGCCTGGACCTGAACACATTTTATCTTCCATCCCAAAAGTTTGCAGTTCTGTTGCTACATACCATGAAGTAGCCAGAACAGAGACACTGCCCACATCCTATGGAAAGGGAATGAAAGCTTGGCAGTGGGGAATGCTAACAGAGCAGACAAAAACTATTATTTTTGTCTCCTCTCTGGATATTTCCCTAAAATCTTTTTACATTTGTGTCCTGGTTGCTTTGTCGAACCCAAGTTAATCTTTCCAGCTCTAATATTTTATGATTGTGGAAGATGCATTAGCAAAATTGCAGAGCGCTGGATTCAAATTGCTGTGTTCTCTTCTCTTCTCCTCCCACCACCTCTCCTCCTCTCTCCTCCCAGCACCTATTGTCCCCTCCCTTCTCCTTTCTCTCTTTTATATTTCGAAGCTCAACCAGGACTTTGACCAGACTTGGCAAGCACTCTACTACTAAGCCCATCATATTCTTCCTAAGACCAAACTCCATCAAACAGTTACTTTGGGAGAAAAAAAATGCCTAACCTCATAGGTCAAATTATTTTGTTGACCTAATCATTTGAATCCAAACCTGTTCTAGAAAAGATTGCTTTGGTTTAATTATTTTATATATGGGCCTATTATTATATAGCTTTTACAAAAGTTTCTGGCATATGTTGCTCTAGAAAAATAAAAATACTGACATTGTGAAGGACACTGATCTTTCAAACGAATGTGAAAAAAGGCAAAAGGACAAAGTCATAGTTCTGGAAATAAATTCAGCAGCACTTCACCAAATGTCATGCGGTCCATCAAAGTGTGAAGTGTCTGTGAGGGGATCACAGTCATCCGTCCAGGATGGCTTGTACCAGCACTTTCAGTAATCAATGACATTTTAGTACTAATGAACTAAAGAACTGAAAACAAGCTTTTCGTTGGAGATAGCCACCTGGACAGTCTATTATATGCCATTTGCCCTGGGTAAACAACATCTGTAGTGTTGATATTAAAGCAACCATGCTCTTCATGATAATGGCCTACAAGATTTTTCTCATTTATTAAAAGTTACTTCCATCCTCTCTTTGATAGTATGTATACTAAAAGCACTCACTTTTATCCTCTTCTTGGAGGATGGCAAAAATGGAAGAAACAGATGAATTGAAGACAGGACACTCTCTTCCAAAAAGCAGCAGTTTTATTCCTGGTAAGGATGGGTACAAGATAATACATACATACATACATATATATATATATATTAACCACAGTTGCAAATATGAAAATATATTAAGCAAATACACAATTTAAACAGAAGGGCTAATGAAGTTCTTTGTTCAAGTGGACTTGATTACAAACAGAATAGTGTGGGTTGTTGCTACAGGGTGAAAAAATACAATTATGTACTATTATTTTAACCAGATTTGAGGAGAAGGAATAAATGACTTTAAAATATAAAAAGTGCTCTATTATAGAACATAATACATTTGGTCAAAGGATTTATTTACAGTATATGTTTATGCTTTACACTGATCAAGGAACAGTTGGAAGAATTTCATTGGACATCAGAGTTATTAAGACTCTATCTCACACCCAAAGAATTAGTCCAGGAGCAATTTCCACTCAGAAAAGTACACATAGGATGTATATGAGTTACGATCTACAAAGTAGGAATGGAAAAGACATGAAAGCTTAATTCTGATCTTTGAATGTCACATGGGTGACAAGAGGTCAAATACTCTTCAATCAAGAGCAATGGCGCACTCTACCCTCTTGCTGGTGTGGCTGAGACCAGGAAACACATAAATACTAATGGAGACCCTTTTATTTGCCTGCAGCTAGATGCTATCCAACTCTGCTAAAGCCAGTAGGACATTCTTTCTTTCTTGGTAGGATGCTTGCTTACACACCAGGTATTAAAATACAACATCTCAAACCTAACTCAAATCTTGCTGTCAGGGGGAAGATTTGAGTCAGAAAACAGCCATAACTAATCCTTCTTATAACTATTCTAGGAGGGATACATTGCATTTGTCTGACATTATTCACAGTTTTGAATAACTTACTTTGGTGTCTTATATAAGATCATGTGCATTGGCATAGAAGCTATAAAAATAATCTTTGGTAAATCATTTAATGTATCTTTATTTCTGTTACGTAAAGCTCTATTTTAGGAACATTCACCAACAATTTCCTTATTTAATGAATGTATCTATAATCTTAACAAAATTACATGCATTTATTTCCATGGAGCCTCCCTACAAGTTAAGAGTATTCTTTTAGCTAGAAATATTTCCATTGCTAGAAGCATTTTTAGAACAGAACAGATTTTTGCCGCTATCATGGATGCATCAAACGTTACCCTGAATTTTAACAAGTATGGCCAAACATTTTTCTTAGGCAATATATTTTACAAGAATCTAAGGTGATGTGTATGAAATGGAAAACTCAGGAAACAGTCACACTTGGTCAATTCAAAAATCAAATGAATTGCTTCAATTGCTTAATCAACTAAGTATGTGTCCCAAATAGTCAGTGAATCCCCAATAAAAACAATACAGATTGATTATCCTTTGTCTGAAATGCCTAAGACCAGAGGTATTTTGGTTTTCTTTTTCTGGATTTGGAATATTTGCATATATATAATGAGATCTCTGGAGGATGAGACCCGTCTACACATGAGATTAATTTATATTTCCTAGACACCTCTTAAACATATGTGATGGTATTTTACACAGCATTTTTAGTGTGCTTGTGTTTTGATTCTGAATGTTTTGTAAGGTCAGGGATGGAGTTTTCCACTATGTTGTCATGTTGGTGCTCAAAATATCTTGGAGTCTGGAACATTTTGAATTCTAGAATTTTGGCTCAAGGATACTCAAATCTGTATACCCTAATAAGAAATATATGTCACGATTTTCAAAGAACAGTCTGGACACACAGGCAAGATGACATTTTGATTCCAGCACTCAGGAGGCTGGAGCAGGAACATTGTGAGTTCCAAGCTAGCCTGACATACCTAGAAAAATCCTGTCTCAAGACATAATAACAATAACTATAAAGAAATAAATAAGATAAAGACATACACCATTTTCTCTTCTTGATGCTGTCTGGTTCAATTCCTAGTTGCCCTTTGTTGCATCGTTTTCCTTGCTTTCTGCTGTCATGGCTTAGTTTTCTATGGTAGGAAACATTCTTTGAATACCATTGATATGATTTTGAATCTCTAGTTAGAGATCCTCAGGGCATTTGGACAGATGTGGCATTTCTTGCTTTGACCTCAGGAATGAGGTTGAAAGTTTGCTCATTCTATGGGAAAGAAGATCACTAATTCTTGCTATTGTCTTTACTGATTATTTTCCTTTCATTCCCTTAATGAAATGGAACCCAGAAAGTCCTTGAGCTTCTGTCAGGTTTGATCTGATCATTGTGCTTGAAGGACAACTCTAGAGCACTGTAGAGCTTTCATATATAACATTAGGATTTCAAGATTCCGATCTCAAAGAATTCCCAGAGGGCTGAGTGAGAATTTAGTATATGGCAGCTACTTTATTGTGAAGGGTAAGGAGAGAACTTGTGTGAAGTGTAACATGTGAGCCCTATTTTTGTATTGCTGGACATCTGCTGAATGGCTTCATATTATTTTCTCATGTCATTTGGGCTTTCTTCCAAGAGGTAACAACAAAATTAATTAAGGATCCTTCCAAATAAAACTGACCCCAAACTTCTACACTGTAGGCAGGTCAGTATTTAAAAATGAAGCCATGGTTATTTTCTATACAGGAGAAGCTCTGGCATTCTACCAGTGGCTATAAGGGAGTAAGGTGAGCAGAAGATAAAAATCACATTCACCTGGTAAAGTGAACATATTTAATACCAAGATAGGTCAAACAGTGGGACTTACACCCTTAAGAGATGGAAAGTTACTTAGGACAAATAAGTGCAAGCCCAGACAGGGATGGGAGTCTTTGAAAACTCTTGATTTAAGAGCTGAAACTCTGGCTGCTTTCCAGAGAAGATCAGAATGATAAGATAAAATTGATTTCATGAGAAGAGATTAAAGGAGTTAATTATAAGGAACTTGGATAAATAATTATTAAGATGCAAGACAGACTCACCCAAGATCTAATAGCTCAGAAACACTTTGAAGCGTTGATGATTAAAGTGTACCACACAGGTGTGCAGACAGGATGCCCAGCGAGACAGGAAATGGAGTGTTTACTGCAGCACAGCCACATGCGGCAATTAGACAGCCAAGCATCCCAACTGAGCTCAATGTCAAGGCAACCATTTACCTCCTTCTCCTAAATTTATTTTCTGATGCTGGGGGTGGGACCCAAGGCCTTGTGCATTCTACATAAGCATTCTGCCACTGAGCTACATTCCCAGTCTAGCCCTCTGTGAAACCTGAATAAACAGATCAACTGGGTTAGGTGTTTAGTCTTCTAGGGACACAGAAGGGGTAGCAAAAATATTTGTTGCTAAGGAGATTTCAATTAGGCATAGAGTAGGAATCACCCTTTCCTGGATTAGTTGAAAAGAATATACAGTTATGCCCTGTCCCGTTCAGTTCTCTAGTTGTGATTCCTCCTCTCGTGCGCAGAGTATGTGGATGTTATTTACTAGGGGCAGAGGTGTAGGCAACCATCTCTGTTTTGGGTCAAATTCATTGCTCTCTCTTCTGAATCCAGTTGTTTGTTAGTGAAGCAGTGTTCTCTCTTGCTGCTTAAGTGACTGCTAGACTAGTCTGGCTGGGTTATCTCATTCTCTCATCTACTGACTGAAAGCAGTCACTACAACCCTAACTTCATGATTGCCACACATGCGTTTTATGGGAATAAAATCATGCAGATGTCGGAACAGCACCTAGTACATTGCAGGAACTTACAAACACTTTTCTGAATGACTGAAAAGCCGAAAATAAGTTTATTTTCCTAGGTATTAATGTGCTATGTGCTTTGCAGAAAGCAACATTAAGGTTTAAAATGATGTTTTGGTTTCCTCTTGCTTTTGTTTTATTTTGTTGCTCTGTGGTGCTGATTTGAGATCAAGTCTTTGTGTGTACCAGGTCTGAACTACATCCTTGAGATGCAACCTTCTTTAGTATAGGAAAAGTGATTTCTTACAGACACCGTATCTCCTAAATCTCTGACCTCTTATTGTTTCCCTATAGTACTTCTGTCATGCTTACTCATATTCCTTTTCATTCTACAAGATCTATTTCATTTTCTGATATAGAACCATCACCTCCAACTCTCATTCACAAAACCCTGGCCCAGCAAAACTAAGAATATATATTCTACAATTCTACAAGAATATATACTCTACAATTCCTGCTTATAAGGTGTCCTGCTACTTAATAAACTTCAAATAATTCCCAGAAAAACATCCCAGGTTGGAATGTTTATTTGTACAATTATAAATATCAGTTTTAGGTATAATTAAGGACTTTGAATTATTAAGTTCCATTATACTCATTATATTATGGGAATCTATGGTATGGAGCAAAAAAAATGTATTTGAAGAGAGTTATATTCTTTCTGCAAATGAAGCTCTGAGGTCAATAAATGTGACCTCTCATTAAAGACAGAAATCTCCAGCTCATTATTTCAGGTAGCCACAAGGATTCCTTACAGATGTTTTTACAGAATTTCCTCAGGAAACCTCTTACAACCAACCTGATATACACAATGCCTATTTACTGTCTCATTAAATATTGCTTTAACCAAAATAAGGCACCACCATTGAAGATAAGCTTGGTAGGATACATGCAACTTTAAGTGAGTATTTGACATTTTGACTTCCCTGACTTTTAGGAAATTTTGTGCCAAGGACCACTGAGCTTTCATTTTTACTGCAATGTTTTTTGGTTCACTCCACATGATATTTTAATGAAATGTGGGTATAATCTGCCACCACCATCTTCTTTTAAAGGAAAAAAAAAACCCAAACAAATCAAGTATGACTTTTCCAGGAATGCAGACTATGGCAGTGAGACAAAGCCCAGAGTGTTTATGCAAGCCAGACCACAGCACAGATGTGATTCTACACTGTGATGCAGCAAAGTGGTCTCTAAGCTCTAAGGACAGTGCTTTGTATGTTATTTTTCCCTCTAGAAGTACAACTGGAATTCTTTATCACATGGACTCATATACTACTGCTGGCATCTTTTTCTGTCCAAGACTTCATCTTCCAGTAGGGACTTCCACTACAAGTTATCTGACCCTAAGTCAATCACTTGGTTGTGAATCCAACTGGAAAAAAAAAGAGATTGAGCAACATCTTTAGGCTCAGTGATTTAGCTCAGTTTGGATGTTGCTTAATTCCTTTTGTGTCTCCTAATCCTTTCCTTTGGTGGTAGGGATTGAACCCATGCAAGCATGCATTCTACCACTGAGGTATATCTGCAGGTCTAGTTCTTTTCTTAAGAAAAACAACAACTTATATTTATCTTAATAGAATCTGGCTCCTCTTTGGATCCCAATATTCAAGAGACAGCAGTACAGCAAAGCTAGCCATAACACCCACTGTCTTTCGTTTGTCTTACCCTTTATTCTTTCCACAGGCTATCAAGACAGGTGAGAAACATGGCCAAAGGGATTCATGGCCATTTTGCCAGTTAGTCCTGTCATACAGGTTACATTAGCTTATGTAGAACAAGCCATGAGCACTTGAGTGTGGAAAAATCATATTATATAAAGCTTCATATTAAACATTATGAAAAATACATATTTACAGGAGAAACTACAAAATACAACTATGTACAATAATATCTGTTACCTTTAAATTACATAAATTCTCTTAACATTCTCCAGCTTAATAAATTATACATAGTATCAACAGAAATAGCTGGCATCTCTGCAAGATATGAAGCAACTTTTCTTCAGAAATCACACAGGGAAAGTTTTTTTTTTTTCTTTCTTTCTTTTTTATCCAGGAGATCTCTGAGTACATTCTTAATGCCTTGAATAGACAGCATCTGAAAGGAAGGACAATGTTATCAGAGATTTCAGCAGAGTGTATCACAATTGTTCTGTTTGTAAACACTTCAAATGGGAGAGACTACAGAAATGACTAAAGCTCATATGGCACAGAATGACCACCTCTCTATGGGACTATCATTCCATTTAGAACATAGATTATCATACCTGGAGGGGACCATTGATGTTTATCTGTCCCACAGGCCCAGAGAGGCAGGGTAATGAACTCAAAGTTGTACAGCTTGTTAATGTTGTCCTGGAGCTAGGTTCTGAATCCGAGCCTTTAGGATAGTGGTTATTTTTCCTTACCTCATTGTTAGTTTCTTTCAGACATGCCCATAATTACTCTAAAAAAGACCCTAAAATCAAGTCAAAACAAGACAAAGAAAACTCTAAGATTCCCCTGAGTTCCTTCTATTCTGTAGCTTCTTAAAGATCTTACATGGAAAAAACCCTTAATTTACTATACAGACAAATTAAGGAGTAATTATTTAAAGTACAAAAGGATTATCTGATTTATACAAGACTCCTCTAAATAGTAGCGCCTTATTTGTGCTTTGTAGATTAGTGTATGGTTAAGGGGTGGGTATAGATGGTAGAGAAAACCAAATAAAATGTTCTGAGATCACTTAGGGATGGATAAGATAGATCTGAAATATTTGTTAAAGAAAAATATTACCTGATTTATGGGTAGATATCAGTCTTCATGGCAAGAAACTAAGGACTCTGGTAGGCAGTAATAGAAAGCTAAAATGATGCTCCTTCTCATTGGCAACAGGCATATGTAAGAAGTCTTTTATTTTCTCTTTTTCTTCATTTTTTGGCAGTGCTGGGGTTTGAGTTCAAAGCCTCATGTTTGCTAAGCATGTGCTCAACCACATTGATATGCCCATGTCTCATTTTGCTTTTAGTTTATTTTCCAGGCGGAGTCTTGTTTTGCCTGGGCTAGTCTTAAACCACAATTCTTCTACACTTCCCATGTAGCTGGGAGCACAGGTTGTGTTTCACCATACAGGATTTATTTGTTGAGATGGGAATCTTGCTAACTTTTTGTCTGGGATAGACTTGAACTTCTGTCCTTCTTATCTCTCCCAAGTAGCTGGGATTACAATAGTGCACCACCATGCACTTAAGCCCATAACTTAGGTCTCATTGATAGCCCAGAGTAGGAAAGAAGCATGAGATTCCTTTCTTGTCAATTAATTATAAGAACAGTATCTTTTTAGTCATTGAAAACAAAATTGCTGATATACTGCATGTAACTATAGCTCAGTTATGGGATCCTCTTCTCCAACTCTGCTCTCCTCTCTCTTGCCACTTTTTTGGACCTTTTGTGTAGAAGAAGTGGTTGATGAGGTTTAGAAGATCTTTAAGATATTAATTGTTTAAGTTATTAATGGCTTCCAGATGGATGATATATAGATATGGGTGATGGATAGATATGGATGATATATACAGCTATCAATAGCTGTATATATATATATATATATACACACATATATATATATACATATATATATATATATGTGTATATATATATGGACCCTATGTTCATTGCTGATACCAGGGCTTGAGCTCTTTCTTGGCTTTGTTACTTGCCTGTGCTCTACTCCTTGAACTACACCTCCTGCTTTGCTTTTTTTTTTTTCCAGATCCTGGAGCTTGAACTCAGGGCCTGGATGCTGTCTTGGAGCCTCTTTATGCTAAAGGCTAGTGCTCTACCACTTGAGCCATAGCAACACTTCTGGCCTTTTCTGAATATTTTATTGGAGATAAGAGTCTCCTGGGAAGTAGAGCCATGACTCACAATGGTAGAGCACTAGCCTTGAGCAAAAGAGCTCAGAGACAGCACCCAGGCCCTGAGTTCAAGCCCCATGACCACCACTGCCACCAACAAAACCAAGTCTCATAGACTTTTCTGACAGGGCTGGCTTGGCGTGAGCCACCAGTGCCAAGCTCAACCCTGCTTTTTTGGGAGGTATGGAATCACATGGATATCTCTGCCTGGGCTGGCTTTGAACTACAGTCTTGCAGGTTATCAGCCTCCTGGGCAGGCAGCTAAGATTACAAGCATGAGCTACCAGTGTCCATCAGATTGACCATATTTTTGAAGAATTAATTCAAATATTAGTGAAGTCACATCCTACCTCTGTGATACTCCGGATTCACATTTTCGTAGATTGGAAAAAGAGGATTTTCTTGTTCATTTCGTAGCTTCCTTGCTCTGAGGACATCCCTTACACACTGATGCAGGTATACATACTGACACTGTGGAAGAGCAGAAAAAACATCAGAGGAAGGCTTGCCTAGGAAAGAGGAGGCACTGTCACAAAATATTGACCATGGTGGAATTCTGCATAGTTAGCACATTTTTTTGAGCCTCACTTCACTAACGGTCTCTGGTATTTAAAAGAGTGACTGCTCTTTATACCACTGCACAGAGAAAAATAGTAATGGGAAAAGAGTTGTTTGTTCATTCCTTTTCCTGAGGCCTGTCTGCACTGTATGGACTGTGAGTGCCTCGAACTGTCTGGTATGTAGGAAATCCTTCAAAAACGAAATGGATGGATAGCAAACACTGTGCAATGCACTTTGTAGAAAACTGCCTCATCTCATGATTTCAGCATGCTTGTGAGATGGATGCAATTGTCAGTATCAGCTGAGACTTGGGAGTTTATTACCTTCTTCAGGATGACCCAGCTTACAAAAAAAGTGATTTGATCAGGGAGGTAAGACCTTAAAGTTCATGTATTTACAGCATCAATTTTCTTATGAGAAGATCATATCCCTGCACATTCTTTCACATTCTTCTTCTTTTGTGAATATGGTGAAAAAAACAACAAGCCTCATTGGCAGTTGAGTATAAGGCCAGTATACGCCCTATGTATTTTCTCAGCATCTGAGTTTGACCTGTGAAAGAATCTCATAGACCATGGCTGACTGCAGAGAACTTAAAGGACTATATAGTGAAGACAAACCTACATGCCAGCTGTTTTGGAATGAACTACTATAGAAACATGAACACATATAGGGTATCCATGCTTTGTTGACCAGAAAGACACCACAAAGACCACATAAAGCACTGACAGCAGTGTCCTAGCCACAGGCAGCAAAGAGGTCTGTGTATTCTCAGAGCTTAGCCTTGTCTCCCCTTAAGGATGCTGTAATGTCAGAGCCCAAGATGTAGAGAACTTGGGAGTGGGTTTCAACTGGTTGCTTGCATTTTTCTCTACTGCCCTTTTTCTTTTCTCCCAGTTTCTTCAAGTGAGCACGTAGCATATTAGATATCAGTTGTTCTTTTTCTTTTTCTTTTTTTTTTGGCAGTTGTGGGGCCTGAACTCTGGGTCTGGGCACTGTCCCTCAGCTCTTCAGCTCAAGGCTAGTGCCCTACCACTTGAACCACAGCACCACTTCTGGCTTTTTCTGTTTATACCGTGCTGAGGAATTGAACCCAGGGCCTCATGCATGCAAGACAAGCACGCTACCACTGAGCCACCTTCCCAGTCCCTCAGTTGTTCTTAAAAACATACTACATGAGTTACATTCTTTGAGTTCAGGAAGAACTTTTTCTCAATACCAGATGAAAGAGGCCAGGCCATCAGTCAGCCTCTGTCTGGCTTCCACTGAATTATGAGACTTTTCAGGATCCCTGTTTTCCTGTTTATAAAACAAGGAGCTATACTCTCTGTCCATTTGAGGGTATAAGACTGAGAACTGATTTTAGTTAGATATGGAAATATATTTTGGGACCTTATGTTTAGGGCAATCAAATATCATCAGCCTTACATTATTTTATAGGTTTTAGCTACAAAATAAACTAAAAGATCTTCCATTGCTGACAATATTTTTTTTCCAAAGTGCATCCTCACTACCTGCTCATCTACCCCTGAGACTTAACAAGGTAGGTTGGGAATTACCAGTTTCTTGGGGGATTATAAATGAATCATAGTGAAGCTCATACTAATCCTTATAACTATTTTTTAATATTTTTCTCACATACCCTGACCTTACGTTCTGAGAATTTTATGGCACATTGACCTTAAAAACTTGGGCAACAATGAGATGTACAAGTCGTTATGTTGAAAAACGAACTTTACAACTTTGGTGGGGGGGGCGGGGAGGATCTGGTAGGGGGGGTGGAGGGGGGTATGGGAAGGAATGGGAAGGGGAAACAAAGAGGAGGCAACCATGCTTGATAAGAAATGTACTAGATATCTTGCCCATGTAATCGTAACCCCTCTGTATGGTATTTTCACAATAAAAAATACTATAAACAAACAAACAAACAAACTTGGGGACAGTAAGTACTATTCTTTTTGTTGTTGTTTCTTGAGACTGGTTCTTGCTAGGCAGCCCTCATGGGCTCTGGGCTGATCTTGAACTCATGATCCTCCTGTGTCTACCTCCTTAGAACTGGGATTACAGGTGTGAACCACCATGCCTCAACAGGGCTAATAGAGTCCTGTTCTGAAAATAGTTGTTAGTATACAGCAGTCTTTTTCCTATCTTAAAAATGACCTACCCAAATCAAAGACTAAACCTTTGCTGCTTCCTATTATCCAAAGCATAATTCCTATTCTTAATTCTACTGGGATATTAAATAACTTTAGAACCTCACATATAAACTGTGAAGGAACTCTCTCTCTATATATCATGGTTTATTAATATACTCTTTAACAATGATCCACCATGGGCTTTGAAACTAGTTTTTTATATCCATTAATTTGTCTTAAATATAAATTCTTTCCCCAGTAGAATGGCCCTTTGAAATTGATTAATGCTAAAACTATTAGATTGGCAATGTGCTTCTCACGTTATTTTTAACAAAAAGTAGAATAAAGATCTACTCAAATCATAAAAGATCATTTGTCTGCTGCTAACTGGTGAAGCCTTGGCTTGGTTTTTGACATAGTTAACTTCATTTAATTTCACCAATATCTGTAGTACTAGCTCGCATACATAGGTATAAATGTAGCCTTTCATGGTCACTAAGTACATGAGTTAGCAGAGGAGGACTGTAAATGAATGCCTGGAAGATGATAAACATAAAGTAGAACTGTGCATGAAGATTCATACCAAAAGAAAAGACTTTAAGCTCACTTTGAGGGAAGAAAAGGTAATATTTTTAAGAATTGGAGTAAAATGGGGGCATTCCAAGTGATAGAAATAATATGAAAGTGCACAAATGTTCTGGAAAGTGTGCGAAGTGGGGTGTAGTTAAGAATGTAGATTGTGTGGGTCATGGAAACCTCCCGGATACTCTCCCCAGTAGATCCCCAGATCCTTAGTCCTGTGACCTCCCTGTGTTTCTTTCTCAGAAGTTGATGTGATTGACAGACTGTGACCCTCGTTTATTGTTCTTCAGTGTCTCAGAGTCATGCTGCAAATTTGCCCCAAGGCGGGTTTGCAAATCCCCTGTCTAATGCCTCTTTGTTTCTAAATCCTTTGTTTGATATATTCATCAAAAATAGAGATGACTTGAGTTTCTTTGTATCCCAAATTCCCAAGATAGAAGAAGGTTGAGGTCAACTGTCACTATAGACCCAGAAAAAAAATAGGAGAGATCAAGACGTCCTTTTTCTTTGCTGTCCATCACCCTTGGAGTTTGGCTGTGAATGACAGTCATCTGTACCTTCTTCTATTAGCAAAGGAGTCAGGACAGCTCTGTGGCCAGGAGTTCTGAGACTAGAAAAAAGTGCCCAACTGTGGTAAACTAAGAAAGCCAGACAGATAATGTTGTACATTGCTGGAGTGTTTGATGAAGAGAAAAGAGAGAGGGAAAATGTCTATCTTGCTATAATGTTAATTTCATCATGATGATTTTAAAAAAGCAAAGTTTGTTCTGGACCAGGGAGGGAAATAGCAGATTCCCAAACAGTTAGTTTGAGCAGTTATGAAGCAGTAGAAGTAAGTTGGACCAGGTTATGAAGAGGCTGTACATGAAAATGAAAATTTGAACTTTATTGGACACGCAATGGGAAAGTACCAGAATTTTTGCTTATTTGGCTAGTTTTGTTTTTGAGATAGAGTCTTGCTGTATAGTTCAGTCTGTTTTTGAACTTGCAATCCTCCTGCTTCAGCCTCTCAGATGCTGGGGCTTCACGTATCCCCACCACACTAGGATTTTTTTCTAGGAGCTGAAAGCAGGCGACCCAATAGGAGGCCACCCCAATGAGTCCATGAAAAATAAAATGGGGTTGAGCAAGAGCAGTGGCAGTGAAGTAGAGGAACTAGAACTAAGAGAAAGCTGTTGGGTAGAATTGACAGGACTTCCTGACTGCCTGGATGTGGAAACAAGTCAGCTCTCCCTGGCTTGCACAGACACATGGATGACAACATTCCCAATGGAAATCAGAAGATGCAAATGTCGTGTGTGTGTGTGTGTGTGTGTGTGTGTGTGTGCGTGCACTTAAAGAAACAATGAATTAGGGAGTTAGGTGTATAGCATTTTGAGTTGGAGAAGCCTGTGACCCTTAGTGAACATGTTTGATAAATATGTACGTATTTAAATGCTGAGGAAGAAGAATTGGATCTGGGAAAGAGGGGCATGTATATTGGTCCTTGAAAACATGGGGTGGGGTTAAGACATCACATGAAAAATGAAAAATGAAAGAAGTCTGTCATTGGAGTATAGAACCGTGGGGAAGGCAGGCTGGGAAATAAGCCGTCAATCTTCAGAGAGGTAGAGGAGAAGAGAACAGGGAGAAGAAGGAGTCATTTCTAAGGAGGAAGAAGAGAAGCAGGAGATTTGGCATATTGCATTGTATTTGCGCTGAAAGCCAGCCAGTGATATTCAAAAAGCCCCAGCATTTTGGAAGGGTATAGAGAAGTGATACATGGCCCAGTCTCTAACAGTAACTAGGGAGTCTTTACACACACACACACACACACGCATGCGCGTGTGTGCGTGCACACTCACACACACACACACACACACTATTTACAATGTGGTCTAGCCTCTTTGTCTCCCATATTACAAATTATTTGTGGTCTGAGTCTATGGAAATGACAACAAACTAATAATGAAGTTTCCATGCTGACCTTTTGGCAACATAATAAGGGTCTTTGTGGATTCATTTAATAGACTAAAGAATTAATACAGAGAAGGAACGCAAGTTCGTAGCCTCTAGGAACTCATCATCTTCTGAAGAAAGATGGCTAGGAGTTACGATATGAGAGATAACATCCCACTGCACAAATGAAACAGCAGCTGGACAGTGATCATCCATGGCTGCTAAAGCCATTAAGTGAAAGGTTAATGGGAACCTGAGAATGAGTGGTTCTGGTTAATGCACCCTGTGCTTTCTGTTAATTTAGTCTGTACAGACAGAGAAGCACAGACACGATGATCTGTCCCCCAGGGTGATGTAATGGGGTACTTAGAACTACTTCCAGTCAGGACCATAATTCCCCTACCTCTGCCTCCTGTGTAACTTGAATGGATAGATGTGTACATCACCATTCTGGGCTTGCTTTTGAGATAGGATCTCATTGGATTTTTGCCTAGTTGGCCTCAAACTAAGACCCTCCTTTCTTGGCCTCCTGAGTAACTTGGATTACAGGTTTGTGCCACCATGCCCAGCTATGTAAAGCAATTTTTTTAATACAGTTTTATGCAGTTACTCAGGCAATAACTTAGGAAAACCCATGACTAAGAGAACCTGAGGATTTGGAAGATGTTTATGCAGGAGAGAGGCATGCTTGCCACATGTGGAGGATACAGATCATAGCCTGAGGCAGGGAGGAAGTGGGCTTGGTACTCAAGGAGAGGATTTTCTAGTGCAGACTAGAACAGGCTCTAAGTCAACATAACCACTTCATAGATACAGATTTTCTATAAGCCCCTTTAGCTTCTGAACTTCACTTTTCTAATTAGAAATAAAATGTAATACCTTTCCTACTTGGTTACTATAAAATTTTAATGGGATAACATGTTCATCAATTATCAAAAAATGTCAAGAGGGCTGTACAAATAGAAACATTTAGCTATCATGATTGACATATGGCCCCTGGTATCTCTAGAGATGGGGGTACAGACAGAGGGGGTCAAGGTCAGGACTGAGAACAGATTGGAATCTTCTTCCCCGTTAATAATTTGTAATTCTTATGAAACAAGCACCAAGATGGGCGAGCTTGGCCATTTCCATATATATATATATATAATGCATTTGATCAAAAATTCATTTTTCTTCCTACCAATCTAAATTAATTTTCTTCTAAGCTGAGTAACTAGTTCAGTAAGGATAAGGTCATACATCATCTTCAAGGTCACTGAAATGTGTTTCGAAATAATAAGTCCTACAAAATGTCTCTATGCCGTCCTTTCTTTCTCTTCCTAAGGGCCAGGGTTATCTCCCCTTGTCAGAATAGAGACCTGGACATATTTTGGGGTGGGAAGGAGAAGGGTAAATTGAGCCTTTCAGTTTGTAATTCTTACCTCAGTCTGAACCATGTGAACTCTGTGAAGTCTTAGGTCATGTACTGCTCCATAAATGTCCACAGAGTCTTTGGAGTCTAATTGCTGGAGGATTCGATCCAGTGCAATAAAGGTTCCAGTTCTACCTACACCGGCACTACAAGAGATGGTAAAGGAAGATTCAGTCTTTTCATTAAATTTGCCTCTCAACATTACGGCAATATTGTGATACAATCTTTTTTCTCCTAAGATGTGGGAGAATATAGGAATGTTTCTTTCTCTCAATGTGTTCTCTCTCCTACAGAAATATAACCTAGAACTCCCTGTGGTCCATTTCCCTCTATCCTTCTTCTCATCTTTCACCTCATCAAAGATAAGGACTGCTCTGTATTTGGTATAAATCTTATCTATGCATGTTTTCATCTTGTTCTACATACATGTAAATCCATGAACAGAGTATTCATTTTATGTGTCTCTTTGCCAACTTTTCCACTCAATTTGGGTTTTGAGATTTATCTGTATTATTACATGTAGATCTAATTTCTACTTTATTATTGTAGGTTTTGGTGTGTTTGTGTATGTGTTAGTAGTGAGTACAAGGCAGGATATGAACACTTTTCTAGGACTGTCAGATTACTCCCCAAGGTGATTATAATCTGGGGATTTTTTTAGGTGCTGTGGAAGTTGCTGACATCAAGATGAAATTATTCTTATCCAACCCAGACAGAATTAGAGTTGGTTAGCTAGGAAAGGGCAGAACTCATACCTACCTGCCTGCTTGCTCAAGGAGTTTCTAAAATCCCTACAAGAAATTCCTTCTCATTCTATGATATCCATGCTTTGCAAGCTTGTATCTGTGCACAGATTTCTGTAGCAAAACTTATCCTTAAGACTGTTTAGGACTATAATTCAGCAATGGAACTCACAAGGCACTACCACTAATTCCTAACCAATACGAGTTCAGACTAGTAAAATCTGTGTCATAAAGAATATTTAAATTTCTCTCTTTTTGTCTTAGTAATTTGCCCTAGCCTTAACCTCTTTGAAGATACCCATTGTGTCTACCATGACACGCGTATTTCCACTGCAATGTTCTGCTATTCCCAAATATTCTGTATAGAATCTCTAGTTGTTATTTAGGTTGCTGATGTCCACATTTATAAGATAAAAAAGAACAATTCTCCAGTACTCCTGGACGAAAATGGCTGTGATTCTTCAGAAAGCTCTTAAGTGTCTCACATTCCCACTAAAAGCATCAGGGTTCCAATGACATATAAAAGCAGGCCTCCTAGGGTGTCAGGCTGATTGGGAGAAAATTAGCACACTTGACATTTCTCTTACTGTAGCAATTCTCTGCTCTTTATTTATTAGTGCCATTCAGTTAGTGCTATCAAAGTGTTGCTGCAAACATTAATTAGCTAAACATCAGGCTCCCCAGAGAGAAAAACATGGCTTGTTAGGTTGATTTTATGGACAGACAGTCTGAGACAAAGAAAAGTCAAGAAAGAACAGACATTTAAGAGCAAAACTGGTTGTTAGAGATGGAAAGTGCTATGCTGTGGTCTTCACGTTTGTGTCACGGTGAAATTTCATACTCCATTCAGCAGTTGTAGTTGTTGCAGCCTTTAGGAAGTGATTAAATCAGGAGAACTCTACTCTTAAAGATGTGATGAGTGCCTTATAAAAGCAAAGAGGAGCAGAGAAGAGTGGTAAGCTCTCAAAAGACATGAATCTATTAGCCCCTTGAGCTTGGACTTCCCAGCCTTCAAAACTATCAGAAACAAATTTCTACTGTGTATAAATTAGTCCATGGTAATTTTTATAGCGGGACCAAGGGACAAAGAAATACTACTGGTTGGGTAGTGGTGGCTTGTAATGCTAGTTATTCAGGAGGCTTTGATCCAGAGGATCATGGTTCAAAGCCAGCCAGGGAAGAAAAGTCACCAAAGGTCTATCTCTAAAATACCCAGTAAGAAGTAGGGCTGGATGCAAGGCTCACGTAACAGAGTGCCAGTTGAGCAAGCAAGATGAGCTAGTACAAGTCCCTGAGTTAAACACTGGTATTGGCTAAACAAAGCAAAATTGATGGAAACAGAACAGGGATGTGAAGGTTATAGAGGGCTTAGAAAGATGGAAGAGAAAGAGAGAGAAAGTATGGTAGTTGGAGAGAACAGCAGGAGGTGAGCTTGAGTAGTCACCATATACCAGCTAAGTGACAGAAAGTTGTTGATAAACTGGATTGAAGGTTAAATGGACTCCTTAGGGAAGACACAGAAGTCACTGAAGGATTTTTTTTTTTTGTATAGTAGGAAAATAACACGAGGGTGAGAGAAGAACAAGACCTTGGGAGAGAAGAGGGAGTAAAGAAAATGAAAGTCAATAAGGGAGAGCAAGGTTAGGGAGCATAAAGAAGAACATAAAATCTTCCAGGAGCTAAAGCGGCCTTATTGTCCCAAAGTAATCATTCACTGGCCACATTCCTCATACTTCCACCTTGTTTTTCCAGATTCCTCTCACAGATGTTTTATTATTGTCTCCTAGGGTGCCGCATACCTGCAGTGCACCACAGTGGGCCCGGGACCTGGGGTTCTGTTGATAAAGTCCCGGACAGTTCTCACAAACTGGATCAGGGACTGGGTGGTCTCTGGGACTCCATGGTCTGGCCACACCGTATAGTGAAAGTGACGGATGAGTCTGTGGACATCCAGCTGTTCCTCCTGGAAGAGTAGAGAGCAGGATAAGAAGAAGCACAACCTAAGGCAGACTCCGATTTGACAACTCTGCCACTCAGAGAAGTTTCTACAAGCCGAAACTCCTGAAAACGAAGCAGTCCACCTAGGATTCACAAATTTCCGTTCACCATTTCAGGTCCTTAATGGAAGTCAAGCAAACTAACATACACTGCATATCTTAAACTCCCTGATGGTCCACTCGGGCAGCACTGACTCTGACAGCATCTGCAGGATGAGGTCTCCGTAGTAGAGGGAATCTTGATCTGGGGGCCAGTAGTGATCACACTTTACCTAGGAGAGTGCAGAGAGAAAAAAAGTCAGCCTGGAAACAGGACTTGCCTCTTTGAATTCCTTCCCAAGGGAGGAATCCAGGCTTAGCTGCTAAAACCATGCGACTGTCTATACTCTAGCTGGGCTGGTGCCGTATGGGACACATCCCTGCTTCTACCTGGAAGCATCATCTACTCAGGCATTACAGGGCTTGAGTTTTTGTTTTGACTGATTCCCTCAGCATTTCGGTACCCATAGCATATACAATTTTCTTGCTCTAGGTCTGGGGATGTAGCTCTGTTGATAGTATGCCTGTTTAGCATGTACAAGGCCTTGGCCTACTCTTCAGAACTACAAAAAGAATGTGAGGGAAAAAAATCTTGTTCTTCCTGAAGGAAGATTTAGCTAGACTCAGGAAAGCATTGTCTTCCTACTCCTGTTTTGTTCGTATATTTTCTAGCCTGGGCCAGATGCCAAGAGATTTTTTGAGAAGCTAGAATGCTTAGAAAACCTTTGCCTTTCCAGAAGGATGGCTGATAGACACATGAAGAAATGCTCAACCTCCCTAGCCATAAAAGAAATGTAAATCATCTAGTGAGGGGCATCTGGGTTGGTTCCATATCTTAGCTATGGTAAATAATGCTGCAATAAACATAGTTGTGCTGGTAGCTTTAGTGTGGTCTTATTTGTGATCATTTGGGTAAATGCCCAAAAGTGGGTCATAGGAGAGCTCTATGTGGAGTCTTTTGAGGAACCTCCATACTGCTTTTCAAAGTGGTTGAACAAGTTTACACTCCCACCAACAATTCAGTAAGGTTCCCTTCTGTCCATCCCCTCCAGCATCTGTTGTTATTAGACTTCTTGATTATAGCCATTCTAACTGGGGTGAGGTGATATCTCAATGTTGTTTTGATTTGGATTTCTTTTATGGCTAGGGAGGTTGAGCATTTCTTCAAGAAAGTGTGGTATATATGCACAATGGAATTCTATGCCTCTGTAAGAAAGAATGACATTGCCCATTTGTTAGAAAATGGAAAGACTTGGAAAAAATTATATTAAGTAAAGTAAGCCAGGCCCAAAGAAACATAGGCCCCATGGTTTCCCTTATTTGCAATAACTAGTATATGTCTGAGACAAGCAGAAATGGTCAGATAAGATGATGTTAGGCAAAATGAACCCCAAGATAAGGATTCAAATGTTTTTTCTTTCTTGCGATTGTTTCTAACACATTTATAAGATGATTTCTTTGTTGCTTTGTATGTCCCTCCCCCACGGTATAACCCCTGTTTTCACTGTATTTGATGTTGGTATAATTTGTGGAGGGGAAGGAAAAAAAAAACAAATCATTTAAATAGGGATACAGGTGGACCCATTGCAACAATGAGATGTACAAGTCGCTATGTTGAAAAACGAACTTTATAATTTTGGCCAGGGGTGGGGGAGGGTGGGGAAGAGGGAAGTGGGGGTATGGGGTAGATGGGAAGGGATGGGAAGGGGAAACAAAGGAGGAGGCAACAATGCTTGATAAGAAGTGTGTTCATTACCTTGCCCATGTAATTTAAAACCCTCTGTATGGTATTGTCACAATAAAAAAAAAGAAAAAGAAAAACTTGCCTTTCCATGTTCAAAGAAGAGTAAAAGGGGGCTATGAGCATTTATTTATGCATGTTTGTGTTTTGCTTGGGGTTATTTTATATAGTTATGTATAAATTGACATTTTTATGAAAGACATATTCATTGATTTTAAATATGTTTATACATATAGACATGTTTAAAAAATACTGTATGAGATTAATTGTATTGCACTGATAATGGCAAGATATCCCAGGAGGGTAAATAGTTACATATGCATATGAATACATCTCTGTTTTATCAAACATACTTAACTGTTATAGACATTTTTCCAGTGCTCCATCATTAGAATGATATTAATTACATCTTACTATATTACATGTAATAAATAATGCTAAATTATATTATGATAACATAATTATAAATATCACACAGGCTAGTCCTGTAGAGGAAGATATATAAGTCTCAGTCTAGAATGAATGGCCTAAAAATCTAAATCTAAAACCAATGTGTAATTTTATTGAGCAATTTAACCTTTAGAATGTGGAGGGTTATAAGTGCATTATAAGAGATCTGTATATAATTTGCCCAGATAACTATTTTCCTTTGGGTTCACTAGCACAGCTGAAAACACTTCTTTTTGAGGGCAAGGACAGACCCCTCAATCTAGCAGAATCTCTCCATATAGCGGGACACTTAAAGATGGAACAAATCAATGGTTGAAACGCTGTGTAATGAGCACTTGTGATGTATCAGTTCTCATATGGACATAGCCCTGACTGGAAATTCAGACACATAAACAGAATGGGGGAATCACCTGGATTTCCTGTTAGAGCCTTTTATACACCGTGACTGAAAACACTAATGATGTTCTCACATGGTGGGGTGACGGTGGGGTGTAACTTTGGGTAGGGTGAGGTTAGATTCCATCTGGGTGGCAGAAAGGAAAGCTAGGAAGTCAGGAAAGCTGTTTACTCACTCGGCCCTTCTCAACACACTGGGTCACCATGACAATGTTGTGAACGTTCTGTTCCCACGCCATTTTCCAGAAGTCATCCTTGGTGCCAGGAAGCGGTCCCTGAGTAGCTATGTATTCTCTTCTGAAGTTGTTGCCCTGAGATGAATTTACAATATGAAGAGTCAGAAACAATGGGCCTCTTCAAAACTGTAAACAAAGAGTCAGCTCTGCAGATTAGATGACATGGAAGTCTCCGCCAGGCTCTGGACTTGAGAGAAAGATACTAACACAAACGTCAAGGCTTGAGCAGGAAGGACAAAGGCTAGAACATTGAACTATTGTTCAGAACCACATTCCCTTTTGTCAGGCTGGGTCTATTCTGAAAGGCAAATAGAGGACTTGAAGCAATGATCTCAAAAATTCTCCACTCTCAATTATGTGGCGTGTGTGTGTGTGTGTGTGTGTGTGTGTGTGTGTGTGTGTGTGTGTGGCGTGCAGACTATTTGAGGAATAGTCATCATTTTGGATAATTGACACTTGAGGAATCTTAGTCATTTTGCACAAATGACATTAGAGTAAGTTGGTGAGGGGATGTCTCACAGGAGATGCTTAATGGAGAAGAGCCGTGGTTCCATGAGCTCCGCTACATAATGTGCAGTGGGTCAGAACCGAGCCAGGTTATTTCCGCCCACTCATTCTGCACTTCAGCAAGGCAGGATTGCTTGCAAAATCCAGTGGATGCTCTTTCTCTCATTGCCTCTCCCAGGGTCTCTCCATGATGTCACCTCTGCCACCCACACACTGCCTCTCAACTGGCTAGTCCGTATTTATCCTTTTGCATGATCTCTGTTGGGCTGTGCTTCTTTTATCTTTCTCTCTATGGGGTGATATTCTCCTCCTTGATGCTTTGTGGCAACCTCTAGCCTCTTGCTATTCCGAATGTAGTCCTTGCGCAGGTAGCAATGGGATCATACTGAGGCTTGTTAAAATCCCAGACCCCATCACATAGCACATTTTAACAAGCTCCCCAGCTGATGTGGCTGTATGTTATGTTGGAGAAGCCCCTGCCTCGGTAAGTTTCTCATCACATCACTTTTCTACATTCTTGATGTTTCTACTGTCTGAGAGCTCCTTTAGTGTTGGATCCCTGTGAACAGTGACTCAGTGTTTGACCTTAAGAGAGCACTTACTTCCTGTGAGTTTATCACATAAATTGAGTGATTGTTTGAGGCAATTATTATTGTTTTTGAAAAAGAAACTGGAGGCCCAAAGAGGTATAACTTGTCTTTGATTATAGATCCAGCAAAGGGCAGAAATGGGATTCAAACCCAGATTTGTCCAACCCCTGAAACACTTTCTTTTGTTGTTGTTGTTGGTCATGGGTCTTGAACTCTGGGCCTGAGTGCTATCCCTCAGCTCTTCAGCTCAAGGCTAGTGCTCTACCACTTGAGCTACTGCGCCACTTCCTGTTTTTCTGGTGGTTTATTGGACGTAAGAGTTTCACGGACTGTCCTGCCTCAGTTGGCTTTGAACCACAATCCTCAGATCTCAGCCTCCTGAGTAGCTAGGGTTACAGGCGTGAGCCACCGATGCCTAGCCCCTGAAACTCTTTCCATTGCGGTGTTTTAGAAAGTTGACTCGATTCTAGCCAGAATCAAGGCCCAGGTCTGACTTGTCTTTGAAGTGGGTCTTCAGTTTTACAAAAATCCAAATAACAGGAGTTTGTTTTCCCTGGCTTGGCAGCCTTATCATTGGGGACCCAACTTCTTTAGGAAGCTCCAGTCTTGTCTTAGGGCTGCAGAACGAAGGCAATCTTTGGGAATGCAGCCTGATAATTGTGTAGTATTATAGGCACTGTGGAAAGTGGGGTTTGGCGGTGATTGAAGTGCTTTATACTTCACACTTTCTACTCTATGACAATCCGATATGGTCCTCTAAAACCTGCAAATGTTTTTAGACGGAAAGCAGTGGGGCTTGCAGGAGGAGTGTTATATCCCATGTAGATGACTTGATGGCTCACTTACCGGGATGTAGCTGGCATTGATGTAGTCAGAGCAAGGGTCATCATCTACATTGGACAGCTTCACTCGCGAGGCATCATCTGGAAGGAAGTTTATCGACAAGTTTGTTGCTGTGTCTTGGAGTGATTTTCTATTTATGTAATGTGTAAAAATGGATGCACCTTATCTCTGAGTCCCACAGCAGCCTCAAGCAAGGTGTTCTTATCTCTACTTTACAGATGAGCAAAGACAGGACAACCGCATTGCCCCAGGTTGTACATGAACAATCAGACACAGGAGATGGATGTGAATGAGGCCCCCGGTACAGTTTGTTTTGCAATATTATGACACTTGTCTAATGGGGTGACCAGCTAGTTCCCTTACACCACTGGAATAAATAAAATCCAGAAAAACTGCCTTCTATTGCTTTAACTAATGGACTCTTTTTCTTAAATATTGTTAATTAGAGACTTAGTGAAACAGACCCTGGCCAGCTTTGTGTCAGAGACCTGCTGTTAACCCATGGGGAAATGTCAACAGCTTGTGTCCTCATATAACTAGAATTCAAACTGTTATTTACCCTTCTGGAGAGAAATTCAGTAGCAATCTTTCCTTGTTAAAGTCATTTATAGCCTGCGATCTTCCATTTCTAGCTTCCTATAACTTACAGATATTTTTTATTATACCATATTTATTTAGTCCCCTTTTATTCCTGGAAAAGAGCAGAAATGGTTAGAGGAAGACAGCGCTGCAAATTTCAACACAGAACTTACAGGGCAATATATTGTTGTATCGATTTTTCCCTCTGTTCTCTGGCAAGAGTGCACTATCACATGACTGGTTTCGACCTATGTCTTTTAGGTCCTGTTGGGTTAAAAAAAATTATAGGTAGAGAATATAAAATAGAACAGAATATAAGAGAAGAATAAAATAGAATAGAATATATAAAATAGAAGTTATATAGTCCTTGAGCTAGGTAATAAGCATTTTAAGTTCCAGAATGCCTACTATTACATTGGTATGAGCTCCATTTCCTTCTACAGTTGCCCACTGGAGACATTCTTATCACCATCTTACAGACCAGGCTTAGAGAGTATAACTAATGTGTTCCAGGTCCCAAAAGTGGAAAAACTGGGAATCACATCCAAAGCTTGGTCACTTTTTGTCAAGCCATATTATTTCCCAGCTAAGCAAATGATCAGGCTGAATAACTTGACAGCACCAGGTTTACAGCTGAAATGTGTTCATTCTTTCTTGCCATATGATCCAAGCAGCACTTTGTTTGCTGGGGCTACTCAGGAGCTCCAACCAGTTTCGGAGACTAGGTGCATACTGAGCAAGGAAACACCGGGCTGAGAGCGGAAGCATCATTCTAACTGTAATCCCACAGGAAAGGGTAGGATGGAAATTCTGCTTCACTGTGCTTGAGTTACTGTACCTCATATTCCTTGGATAGAAGGTAGTTGGAGTCAGCCTGCAGTTTCATGAAATGTCCTTCAAACTGATTTATTTTTATGGGGCTGCAATTAAAAATGAAACAAAAGGAAAAGAAAGTTACTAGAAAAAAGGGGAAATGCCATAAATGGTCTGTTATATTTCAAAAGCAGATAATATGGTAGTTAATGTGTTCTCTCTTACCAGGAAGTTTTCCGGTTACTGAAAAGAAGTAGGAAAAGAAAGAAAGACCTCATTAACAAACCTCACATAATAAACATCTCCCAATAAATTAAATAATGCAAAGAGGTGGCACTTACCCTTTCTGGCCCAGATTCAAATGGACAGATAATGGGCGGTCCCTACGAATGCTCAAGCGAGCTGAGGGCCTCTCTCGACCATGGCTGAAACAGAAGGCAGAAGATTTTTATTTTCAACATAATACAATAGAACATTTTTTTCCATTTATGGTAAGACTGTGCATGTTTGTGCAAATAAGGAGTTTTCAGTATTCATTGCCCTCAGCCAGCATCTCTTTGAAGGGAGAACAGGGGAAGAAGAACCTAAAGGAGTCATCTTTCCCACTCAGAAACAGATCTGTATGATAAATGAAGACTTGTTTCCTGGTTTTTGGCTACAGGTCATAATCACTTCCTACACTCTCAGTAAAAACTTTCCTTTGAAAAAAAATCTTCAAACCAGTAAACTTCAGATGCCAGACATGACTGCAAGAGAGAGAATAAAGTACTAAAAAAATAAGTAAGTTCACTAAAAGAAGAGGGCAGGCTGTCTGGCTCTTCTTAGTTCCTTCTTAAATTATGGTGGTGGAGATGATGTCAAACATGCTTTTCAAAATATTGCATAAAAACATTTTCGCACACCATTCGCAAACATCTCTGTTCTCACAAAGACATAAAGCAACATTTTTTTCATTCTTACTGATGCAAAAAGAGTGATTTCCACTTAAATAAAGCTCCTGACTGTCTATGAGTCCTTGGAAAGGACCAAATTTATCCATGATGGACAGTGAGTCATGCTTCTAGAATTTGACTTTTGTTTGTACTGAGAAGACAATGGTGATTTAACTTGGGGAAATTAAATTGTTTTCCTTTTCCCGCTTCAAGTCAAAGGGTATTTTCAGTTACATTTCTACAGCTGAGGACCCAGTCGCCAGAGAGATCTTTGTCCATACCTTGCTTTTTGTCTGCAGATGAATAAGGCAACCAGAGCCACCAGCATGCCAATCAGAAACAGGCCAGCACTTACACCTTCAATGACACCAAACAAGGGCTCTACAAGAATCCAGATGGAAACAACAAATCCAGATGGGAAAATCAGTGATAGGAAACCAGTAAGAGCATATCCCTGCTGCAGCCATATCTCGCAAGTAATGTTATTACAAGTACAGTTCAAGTGATGCTCACCTTGAGGTATTGACTACAATGGCCACAAGCCTGCTATCTGATGTCAGAAGCAGATCCATTAGAGGGCAAAAGTTCATTCACTGTTGTAGGGAAAGAGGGATGGCTTATTTGCACTTTGTGCTCAGATGTAAAGCTTGGGATACCTGATATAAAAGCTTGACTTTACTACCAAAATGTAGATGCAATTTCACTGATATAAAGTTTGTTACACAGCCTCTGGGGCTTAGCAAATCCAGTGAATTGCTGAGAGTTGTGTTAAAAAAAATTGGTATTCTTAGGGGCTGGAAAGGTGGCTCAGTGGTAGAGCGCTTGCCATGTATGCCTGAGGCCCTGGGTTTGATTCCTCAGCACCACATACACAAAAAGAAAAAAGCCGGAAGTGGTGCTGTGGCTCAAGTGGTAGAGTACTAGCCTTCAGCTGAAGAGCTGAGGGACAGCACCCAGGCCCAGAGTTCAGGCCCCGCGACCCGACCCCCCCCAAAAATTGGTATTTTTGTTATCTGGTGGGATATTGTTATCAAGAATTTATGAATAGGAGGAATAACTGTTTCTTGAGACAGAGTCTCACCATAATGCCCAGACTGGCCTTGAACTTCTGTGCTCAGGTGATTCTCCTGCCTCAGTCTCCCTAGTAGCAGGGATTACATGTATGAAGCATTGTATCCAGCTAGCCTGTTTCTTTTTAAAAACAGTTTTCTTGAAATATAATTCACATACTATATCATTCACTCAGTTTCATTGTACAATTCAATACTTGTTACTATAGTTGCAGAATTCCACAAAGATCACTATAATTTCATCACCCCCTAACAAATCTATGCCTTTTGGCAGATACTCTATTCTTCCTTCTCTGTAGCCCCTGGGGACCTCTAATCTATTTCCTGTTTATGAATTTGCCTGTTCTGTACATTTCTTTCTTTTTCTTTTTGGATCTGGTTGTAGGGTCTGAACTCTGGGCCTGGACGCTGGCCCTCAGCTCTTCAGCTCAAGGCTAGCACTCTTCCACTTGAGCCACAGCGCCACTTCTGGCTTTTTTTTTCTGCTTATGTGGTGCTGAGGAATCGAACCCAGGGCCTCATGTGTGCAAGGCAAGCACTCTACCACTTACCCACCTTCCCAGCCCTGTTCTGTACATTTCATATAAACTGAGTCTTGATTAAATGGCATTTGATGAGTGCTTTCTTTCATTTAACTTATGTTGTTAGAGGTTTATGTAAATAAAATTTATTTCATTTAGATTTATGGCTGAATAAACTTGTATGGATATATCAAGTTTTACTTATCTATTCATGGATATTTGAGTTCTTTTTATTTCTTGGTGATTGTGACTGATATAGCTATGAACACCCATGTTTTCAATTTTTATGTTAACAAGTTTGTATTTCTCATGGGTATATGCTTCAGAATGGGATTGCTGGATCATAGGATAACTATGTTTGACATTTTGAGGAACTTCAGGTGTTCTACAAAGTAGGAAAGATCATTCTTCAAAGTATACCTGAGGGTTCCAATTTCTTCATATCATCATTAACACTTGTTATTATTTTTGACCATAACAATGGCAATGGCTAGTATCTTTTTTTAATGGCTAGTATCTTATTAAAGTTTCTCTCTCTTTCCTTCCTTCCCTTCTTCCTTCCTTCCTTCCTTCCCTCCTTCACTCTCCCTCCCTCCCTCTCTTCCTTTCCTCCTTTCTTCCTTCCTTCCTTGCTTTCTTCTTGTTGGTCCTGGGGCTTGAACACAGGGCTAGGGTGCTGTCCTTGAGCTACTTTGCTCCAGGCTAGGGCTCTACCACTTGAGCCACAGCTCCACTTCTGGATTTTTTAGTAGTTAATTGGAGATAGGGGTCTCACAGACTTTCCTGCCTGCTTTGAACTGTGATCCTCAGATCTCAGCCTCCTGAGTAGCTCGGATTATAGGTGTGAACCACCAGCACCCAGCTTATTATTAAGATTTTGATTAGCATTTTCCTCATGGAAAAAAAATATATGGAATATATGCTGTTGAGCATATATTCATACATTTATGGATTACTTGTATATCTTTGGAGAAATGTCTATGTTGATCCTTTGTACATTTAAAAATTATGATTGCCTATTTATTGCTGAAAGATAAGAGTTCTTTGCACATTCTAGATTCTCAACCTTTGTCAGATATATAATCTCTCCTGTTTTGTGGGTTGTCATTTCATTTATTTGATGGTCTCCTTTGAAACACAAAACCTTTTAATTTGATTAAACCTAATTTAGTGTTTTTGTTGTTTGTACTTTTGGTATCTTATATATAAAACCATTTTATAACCCCAGGTCACAAAGACTGACATATATTTTCTTTAAAAAATGTTACTATTTTGCCTCCTATATTTAGCTCCATAAAGTAGCCCATTTTTTGCATTACATTGTGAGCCTTTATATTTGTTTTTTTTTCATATTGTTTTTCAATACTCATCAAACCAACACATTCTGTTTTGAATGTAGGGTAAGTGCATTCCTTTACTGGCCTAAATAGAAATTTCTGTTACATAACAATATTTCAGATAGGAAAGAATTGTGTTTACAAAGTCCATACTTAACACCAAATTATAAGCAAATACATGTAAATCCTCTTAACTGGGTCCAATCCTACTTTGGTCTGAAAAGTGGAAGATTATCCCTTTATTTGGCATAAATAGATAGGAAGGTTTGTGAGGCAGAGCCATCTTTTGTCAAGCAGCAGGAGAGACTGTTTTAGTTCTAAAGAACTTTCTCAGACCAAGAAATTGCAGCCCACTGGGCACAGAAAGCTGGGACAGGCATTGGTGCCAAAGAACAAGGTTATGGAAGCTGAACTGTTTGGCACAATGGGAACAGTGAGATAGGGCAGGACATAGGCTGCATACTGTGGTAAAAAGAGCCAGGATCCCAGCTGCACCTTCTTGGGTGAGTTATTCAACCTTTTGGTGCTGCATGTCCTCACCTTTGAAATCAGAATAGTAATGACATCTCCTTCCAAGCTTATACTAAAGACTGGATATGCTATTTTATGTAAAACATGCTTAAAACTGTTACCTCCACAGAAACAACTAGCCCATTAGATATTAGCTAATATCACCAAATGTTCTCTCTAGCATACTTGAGATTCAAAAATGTATATAAAGCTTTTAAAGGTAATACTTTAAACTTATTATTGTTATTATTACTATTAGTATTAGTGATAATTATTGTTGTCATTACTATTTATGGTACTGGAAATTTAATCCAGACACTCACACATGCTAGGCAAGCACTCTACCAGTGAGCCCTACACATAGCCCTCTAAATTAACACTTCAAAACAATGTAAGAAGTGAACAGAATAAGCAAAAGGAAGAAAAATCACCTATAGCTCTACTATTTTGAGACAGTCATTAATGTTCTGGTATTTTCTCTAGCCTTTTTTATTGTGAAAGTACTGTACAGAGGGGGTTACAATTACATGGGCAAGATAAAGAGTACATTTCTTATCAAGCATTGTAGCCTCCTCCTTTGTTTCCCCTTCCCATCCCTCTAGTCTTTTTTAAAATGTAGTTTGCCCTCAGTATTGAGGTGAATTGGTCCCAGGATTTACCCCCACTATTCCAAAGTTTGTGGTTATTGAAGTCCCCAATATAAAATGGTATAGCATTTTCATATAACTTACACACAACTTTTTGTATACTTGAAGGCATCTCTAGATTAGTTACTGTGAATGCATGTTGTCATACTGCATTGATAATGAATTGAAACAGTCTATTCATAGACATAATTGTTGTCAAATATTTTGATATAGTGTCAAACTTTTGAAGGCAAGAGCTGACTGTGTGTGCACACAGATCTACTGATATCTGAAAGCTTTTTGTATCAATTTAATTCTTGTCTTTGCAAGCTCTTGATTTTAATGAATGTCACTCACTGTTGAAAAGGGAAAAATATCATGCACTTCCACCTTTTTTTCCTAGATTAATCTCCTTTAGGTCTATTCTGGTCTAATCTAATTCATATCAATCCATGGTCACATAGAGATTAAGTTCCCAGTGGAAATTAATGTTTCTGCCACCATCAAATGTGTCACCAGACTTCCCTACTGTTGGCTCTTATAGGTGGCATGGTAGCTGGCAGAAGGAAGGACAGGCAAATCTCACCTGATTCTGTGGTGATAGGCAAAGAAAAAAATGTATCTGAATAGAGTGGCTTTGTGAATTCTTTCAGGTCCTCATCAAACAGCTGAGTAAAAGCCCGAATGCTGATTCTGAAAACAAAACAGTTGGAGTGTGAATTAGTGACTCAGCACAGTGGAACGGGTTGAAAATTGTGTTTAAGGAAAAGTCTGGGTGGATACCTGGTTATTATGTGTGCAGGGAGAGGGATGAATTAAAGAGTCAGATAGAGCTGCAGGTCATGCATTCTTTCATTCATTGAATTCCTCATCAAATATTCACTGAGCTACTGCTGGGTACCACCTAAGTCTAGAAACTGTGGATATTGCATGGAACAACACAAAACCTCTGCCTTTCCAGGGATTGCAGGCCATGGAGGAAGTCAGGCAAGTGACTCAGGAATGTAGGGTTTCAGATGATGAAGACTATGAGAAAAAGAGATGGAAAGCAAAGGGGATGAGGCTGCCTTACTCAGCATGGCCGTAGAAAGACCTGGATAAGAAGACCCTGTACAGAAATTTGAGGAAAGTGAAGGAGAAGTTAGGCTCACAGTTCAGTGGTGACTGTTGTCACAAAAATTTGAGGCAGAAAATACCTGGGACCTCTGAGGGACAGCAAGAGACAAACAAGCCAAAGCCTTATTGATGAGTGATCTGCTGTGAGATCAGAGAGGTCCATGAGCCAGACCATGTAGGAATGGCCGATCCTACTCACCATGATGTCATGAGGGAGACCATGGCTTTTGCTCAGATTGACATGGGAAGACATTGGATGTTGTGTTCAACACAGAAGTGAGTGTTGCTACATAAGAATAGACAAAGGAGAAAAGGGGATGGGAGGATGTGTTGGGAGGGGATTATAATAATCCAGGTGGAAGATGATAGCTCGGACTACAGTGGTGGTTGAGGTAATGAGAAGTGTTGGGTATTTCAGACAGGAGCTAGAAGATTTGCTCAGGGATGTGAAGTATGAAAGAAAAGGTGGAATCAAGGGTGATTCCACATGTTCTGGCTGGGGAACAAGTGGAAATAAGGAGGTGCTGTATGCAAACATAAGGGAAGAGTATGGAGTAGATGGAAGGGTATGGGAGGATCTAGGTAGAGTTAAGATATCCATTAAAGCTGATCCATAGCTGAAATATCAATGTGGTAATTGCCATTCCCTCTCTCCCTCCCTCCCTTCCTTCCTAATTTCCTTCTTTCCTCCTTTCCTTCCTTCCTTTCTTCCCCTCAGTACTGATATTTGAACTCAAGACCTGTTTGGCAGGTGCTCTACCATTGAACTATGCCCTGAGTCCCTATCTCTGCTAATTTTTATCTGCATAACTTTAAAAGAAGTATTCTAACTCTCTAACCTGATAAATCAAACTTTGTCATGTACTTTCTAGATGAAGGTCTTCCTTAATCAGCTTTGGTGTGTGTGTGTGTGTGTGTGTGTGTGTGTTTCTGTATCTATGAGCTGTTCTTAGGGCTTGAACTCAGGGCCTGGGCATTGTCCCTCAGCTTTCTTGCTCAAATCTAGCATTCCACAACTTGAGCCACAGCTCTACTTCCAGCTTTTTGGTGGTTAATTGGGAATAAGAGAGTATGACATAAGCTTTCCTGCCCTGAGAAGCTTCCTGAGTAGCTAGGATTACAGGCATGAACCAGGAGGGCCAAGCTATGGTCTCTCCATACAATATAGATGAGCAAGAATTCTCTATCCCAGCCTGCCCTCCAACTTGTGATTCTTATTCAGTAGCTTCTTTGGGACTGATATTTTAGGCATGTACCACTACCATCACACTAGGCCCAGAACTCATAATTTTGGATATTTGTAACCTTATATCAAGAAATTTTCCTTGAGGACCCTGGTTGTAAGGCTATGTTTCTCTTTCTGGAGCAAGTGAAAGTAAGGAGGTGCTATATGCAAACATAAGGGAAGAATACGGAGTAGATGGAGGGGTATGGTATGGGAGGATCTAGGTAGAGTTTAGTTGTGAGAATACTAATTCTCATATATCCATTAAAGCTGATCCATAGCTGAAATATCAATGTGGTAATTGCCATTATAAAAAGAGTACTACCAATTCTTAGGGTTGACAGGGCCCAATGGCTGCGGTGACATTTCATGTGTCACCACAGAGGGAGAAATGGGTGTTCTCATTCATTTAAGGCTCTTTTTCTTCAAGAGTACTTTTTGGAGCACAGAGTAGTTCCATTTTTATATGCTTTTAAGGTAAATAAATAAGAATACGTCCAGTCCTTATTAAAAGTGGAAGATATAAGCTCATAGTCTTTGTGTCTTTTTAAACTCAGTCTGTGCGTGCATGCGTGTGCGCACACTTGTGTGTGTGTGTGTGTGTGTGTGTGTGTGCACACGCCAAAATTCAGGGCCTAAGTACTATCGTTTAGCTTTTTTTTTTTTTATCAGCTGTGGGGCTTGAACTCTGGGCCTGAGCACTATCCCTGAGCTCTTCAGCTCAAGGCAAGCGCTCTGGTGCCACTTCTGGTTTTCTGATGGTTAATTGGAGATAAGAGTCTCAGGAGGACTTTCCTGATTGGGCTGGCTTTGAATTGCAATCCTCAGATCTCAGCCTCCTGAGTAACTAGGATTACAGATGTGAGCCACAGGCATCCGGCAGCTTTTCTTTTTTAAGGATGGCACTCTACACTCTACCCACTTGAACCACAGATCAACTTTCAGTTTTGTTTTCTTGATTAACTGGAGGTAAGAGTTTCACAGATTTTCTTGCTGGGTTGGCTTTGAACTAGCATCCTTAGATTAGCTCTCAGTCTCTTGAGTTGCTGGGATTGCTAGGCTAAATTCAATATTTTTACTAGGCCTTTTTATTTTTAAAAAATTTTTGACACCATAAATTATTTGATTTGCATTAAACATTTCTAGGAGAAAGAACAGTCTATTAAAAGCCTTCAGTTGTTCACAGAATGAATTGGAGCTTTTGTACAATGCTGAAAGCCCTCTCTGCACATTACCGGTGAATGGAAGCAGGAATATAACTTTTATAAATCACTCACTACAAGGTAGCGTATTCTCTTAGTGGAGATTATGCATCAACAGGAGTTCCTATGCAGCAGATGCTCACTCAGCTGAGCGCCTGGTTATGTAGCATGTCTCTTCTAGCAAAACCATTGTAATCCATCTAACCTGTAGGCAGTGTGTGGCTTCAGTGGTCCATCACAGAATTTCTGCTGACTGGGATCACATTTTCCACCCAGGCTGTCCATCTCTGCTCCAAGCTTAATGTTAAAACTCTTAGAGTTGCTGTCAGGACTTTCAGTACATTTGCTAGCAAAATAATTGGTCTGGTACATGTGGATGGAGGCATTCTGCCTGTACTCTAGGTAGGAAGGGAGAGGGTGCTGTTCTTCTGGTTTTAGGTCATCCCTGCCTGGAGAAGAAAAAGCACAGTTAAAAACTTTCTTGTGACTTAATTTTCTGAGTGATTTCTGACTAGGCTTGTAAGGGTGTCTCCTCATCCACTATCTAGCTATACCAGAATACAAATTCTGTGATCTCAGAGCAAAGAGAAAGGCTCTGAAATTTTGATGAAATTCCTTTAATATACTCCCTCTCTCTCTCTGTCTCTGTCTCTTTGTGCTGGTCCTGGTCTTAAACTCCCTGAGCTTCTTTTTGCTCATGGTTAATACTCCACCACTTGAGCCACAGCTCCACTTGTAGCTTTTTTTTGGTAGTTAATTGGAGATAAGAATCTCATGGGCTTTCCTGCCCAGGCAAGTTCAGCCTCCAGAGTAATTAAGATTACAGGTGTTAGCCACCAGAGCCTAGTGCTAAATGGTATCTTCTTTCTATATTTGTTATCCTAATTATGTTTTTCTCCAACCAACATCAAAACTAGTTTCACTAAAACTCAGTTTTTCTTAAAGTATGCATGTTAGATACAACACACACACACACACACACACACACACACACACACACACACACACACACACACACACACCTTTTTCTAGGAAACAAAGCCAGATCAATTGTATGAAGTGATAACGTCTCAAAACTCTAGAAAGCTGGAAAACTCCGACTATGAGTGTCAACCCACTCAAAGAACCCTCTACCTTGCCAATAACCACTGTAGTAGAGCTAATAAGGAAGCTCCTGTGACCTTGAAAACAGGGAAGAGATAAGAGAAAAACTGTCCCAGTTGTACTTCAAGCCAAGCTCCACCTGGCATGCCTGGCTCTCTGTGAGCCTCTCTGTTATCTTGAGTACAATGTTCAAATTTGGCCCCCAGTTCACACAAATCTCTTTTCTTGTCCATTTGGCTTGCTGTGTGTTTGGGCACTGTGAGCTAGCTTTGATGGTGGTTGGAGAAAAACATAATTAAGAAAATAAATATGATAGAGATAGGATATCGTTTACAATGAACTTCAAGAGGTGGGTGGGATTGTATGATTCATCCCAGCATCCTGGACTCTTGTTTAATATTTGCTCACAATGAGTGGATCCCAGAGACATTTTTTTAAAGTTTATTGGTCTTCATGAGGATTCAGATTAATGTGTGAAGGAGAGATTAAGTACAAAAACTGAGATCTTCCCAGAAGAATATTCAGTTCCCCATTTCAGAAAGGTTTCAAATAGAGATTCGTGTGGACTTTTCTTTTTTAAAAATGATGCAGTAATTTATTATCTTTAAGGAGTTTAAATTCAACGTATCAATTTATGAGTATAATGCATTTTGTCTTGTGTGCTTTTCTTTATTTCCATCCTTTCCTAATTCCTTTGTCAAAGGTGCTTAAACTCAGGTACAACATCTCAAATAATTTTGAAAAATATAAGGAAGGTAAAATATATTAATGATTTTGCAGGCACAAATACCTGTTTAGGAGAAATAACATAACTTCAATGCAAATATGTACACAGGGAAGTGTGTACCCCAAATGTAACTCTTCTACAGGTGGTTTGTCAAATGCTGCTATCTTATAATAAGGTCTAGGGTCACACTTAGTGGTTGCATAGAATGTTGCAGCCTAGTATCTGTGCAGTCTGTGGGAAGTAGGTAGCCACTGCCTATTTTAGGTAACTAGAGAGTGACATTATTCAAAATTTAGTGAAGAACACTTTTCATGAACGTCTTTTCCCTCTTTCAAGTTTTGAGATACATTTGTGAATTTGTGGGTCATTTAGGAATGTATGATTGATTATCTGTGACAGAGATGGGTGAAAGCATTGAGTCACAATGCTGTTTATTTTTTTAAAAGAATAAATGCATTGTATTTTGAAGTAATTAAAATATCCCATCAACCCGATTTCCAGATATGGTTGAAGAAAATTTACTTTTAGAAAATAAGGAAGCAGGGTTGGGAAAGGTAGCTCAGTGGTAGAGTGCTTGCCTTTTATGCATGAGGCCCTGGGTTTGATTCCTCAGCACCACATAAATAAAAAAAGCCGTAAGTGGCCCTGTGGCTCAAGTGGTAGGGTGCTAGCCTTGAGCTGAAGAGCTGAGGGGCAGTGCCCAGGCCCAGAGTTCAGGCCCCACGACCGAGGCCCCCCCCCCAAAAAAAAAAAACAAAAGAAAAAAAATAAGGAAGCAGGTAGATATTTTCATGTTGATCTTAAGACAAAGAAAAGGAGACAGAGGTAAGGCCACTTCTGAATGAAGCAAGTGTATTGTTGCTTAATGACAGAACAGAAGTGCACAAGAATGAGACTAGTGAGCTCTGGAAGAAAATTCCATGGGACTCCAATCTCTAAAGTACTCAGCAAAACACTGGACTGGAGGTGTGGCTCAACTGGTAGAATACCAGCTGAGCACATGAGCCAAGGAAACATGAGACCCTGAATTTAAATCCTAGTACTGAGGAAAAAAATTGATGACTAGTGGTAAATCGTAAGAGCTTAGTAAAAGAACACTACTATTCTTATCATTGCTATTATTATTATTATTATAGTTGCCATTGTTATCATTATTATATTATTATTATTCTCCCATTTAACAATTAAAATCTAAGGATATTAGGATCTGTTGCCAAGACAGCTTTGGAGAAGATTTGTTATGTATCTATATCTATATCTAGTGGACACACAAAGAAAACAAAATGATATAAAAGGTAACTTTTCTACTTCAAAAAACTTATCACAGGAGCCCAGACATGACCTTTCAAAAGGCAATTATGTTTTCCAGTAAAGTTCCATAATCCCTCCTAACTTACCATCAGCTTCTTTCACCACCACTGTGAAGTATTTCACAGCTCCGTTGGTGTCGCTGAACCAGCTGCAGTTGACAGTGAAGTTGATGGAAGATTTGCTAATTAGCACATCCTTTTCATTCACACGAATATGTGGGGGTGGAGGAGGAGGGCCTGGAGAGAGACACAGGAAGGAACCAAATGGAGTCACAACAGCTGCATTCACCTCTTCAACAAGTCAAAGACAGGAAGGACTCTGGTCATCTTCATCAGGCTCTGCGTGTGTGTGTGTGTGTGTGTGTGTGTGTGTGTGTGTGTCTGTCTGTCTGTCTGTCTGTCTGTCTGTCTGCGCGCGCGTGCGCATGCTCACACACACACACGTGAGTGTTTCTAGCTTCTAATCAAGAATTTCTTCTCTCCTGAAGTGCAGCAAACAGAAGAATGGAGTTGAGGGTGACGCATGAAATGCCATGAAGGAGGCAGCTAGCTCCCTGGTTGGTTTTCCTGAAGTTGCAATATCAGATTGTCAAATAGTTCCATTTGTATCAGGCAAAGTAAAGGATTTAAATACTAGCTCATACAGATACAGTAAGATCACATAACTTGTTTGTTGTCAGGGTATTGACTGTCAGGTACAGGTTGCCAGAGAAATGTTTTAATTTTTTTGGATCCATGTCAATCTTCTTCCCCAAGTGACAATAAGACAGATTGATCTACAGGTGCACTGTATGCAGAAGAGCAGTGATGAACAAGCTAAAGAGAGGTGTGCAGCCCTCCCTTCCAGTGACAGAAACCTCCTTCCCTTTCCCCCATCTCTGTCCAGGGACACTTACGGTCTATCATTGTGATAGTGCTGTCTTCCACCACCTCGCTAGTCACACCAGCTGACTGTACTTTGATGGATATCAGGTACCTCTTATGTGGCACTAGCATCATGATGTTGAGCAGAGATTTTTCTTTCTCCAGCTTTCTGGAGAACTCAATTTCTTGGGTGTCCATTTTTCGGCATTCAATGCTGTAGCCATCGAAGTCAGAATCAGGAGGAATCCAAGAGCAGGCAATGGCTGTAGAGTTCTGGGGCCGGCAGTGCAGGTTTTGTATCTTGTCTGGCTCTAGAGGAGACAAGGTATGAGACAGATCAGCAAATCTGGACACTTGGGTTCAACTTGCTCTGAGATTTAAATAAATAGTTCCCACCATTTATTTGGGTTATTTTATGAGGAAAAAAATTCCCATAGGTTGTTAAGGAAATTTCTGCCTGTCTGATTCATTTTCAAAGAAGGAAAAAAAAAACTTTTAAGACATTAAAATTCTGTCTCTTTAGATAATCATCAAGCTTGAGAACATGTTTAGAAATGGAAATGCACATGGAGCACCCTATCAAGTGGCAGAAATCAGACAAGATGGGGAGAGGAAGTTAGAAGTGTGCTTAGCCATTCCGGATACACATTTTATTTATCAGCAGTGCACTTTGAGGCAAGTGACTTCCCCTCTCTATGTCCCATCTGTGAAATGAGGTGATTAAGAGTTTCTACTTAGAATGGTGATTACAGCCATTCACACATTGAAACATCGCCACCTACAACAGTGACAGGCCTAGTAATTCTTCAGTACATGTGAGCCCTCCCAATGAGGAAATTAAGAACTAGTATTCCTGACTTGCTGTTCTCTAGGCCCTGACTTCTGTCTCCTTCCTCCATTCTGGCTTCTTCTGCTTATGTGCCATGTTCAGGTGCTGAAGGCACTGTGGTTCCTGGGGTGTCCTTGGATGCTTATTGTTGCTTAAGTTTGTTGTTGCTGTTGTTGTTTTCTTCCTGACAGCGTAGCTGACAGCTGACACAAGTTGGGGGGAGAAAAAATGAATTGCAGTTGTAGAATTACTAGAAGTTCAGGGTGGACAAGTCTGAGAGTTAAAAACCTGAAGGGTATACTTACTCACTGGGGAATCCTCCTCCTACCCCCATATTTCATGAATTTAGCTTTAGGAGCTTGACCAAGTTCTTACAACAAATGTCAGAGAAAAAGAATTTCTTTGTATTTCTGTCAGCAGAAGGGAAAAAGAACCGCTCTGAAAGAAAACTTATCACTCCATTCTTAACAAGATCTGCCCTCAGGCTAAATGAACTAGAGCCGAAAGTAAGATGAACCTGCTGATAATGTGTCAAGCCTCTCTGACCCAGGGGAAGGAAATACCTCCAGTCATTCTACCTAACTGAGGAAAGTGTACAATGAAAAAGCAGGACAAACACTTGTGAAGTTTATGGTCCAGAGGCACCACCTACTTGCTACAAAATATCCCCTCCCCCCTGCTTTTTTTAACCACCCCCTTGCCCCACACCTATAGTTACCGTTTGTTGGTTATCAAGGAAAGAATTATAGGTCTGGGACATGGGTCAATTGGTAGAGTTTTTACCTATTAAGCATAATGCTCACCTCCCCCCCAAAAAAGGGTATAGTAAAAGAATAATACAGTTTGAAGAGACTAAAGTAGGACTAAAGAAGCATCCAGAACCAGAATCAGATACTATAGCAGTGACACTGGAATGAACACATGAGGGATCTGAAACAGTAATGATTATTGTGCAAAGCGCTCCAATGGACAAAGCAGACAGCATGTAAGAACAGATAGAAAATGGAAGCAGAGAGACAGGAGTTCTAAAATAGAGCCCAAAAGAAAAGCATGAGTTGAAAACCCTGTAACAGAAATGAAAAGTGTCTTTGATAGGATGACTAGGAGATTAGATGTGGCTGAAGAGAGTCTCTGAGCTTGAGGATCTATCCAGAGAACCCTCTGAAGCTGAAAAGCAAAGAGAACAAAGGTTAATGCAAAGAAACCCCAAACCCTTCAAACCAGGAAAAGAATATTCTAGGACCAACGAACAAAAACAGAAAGAGGACATAGACATAATGAGATTACCAGATATGGAAGAAAGAAACAGAAAATTGATTTGACACAGAATGACAGAATTTCCCACACCAAGCTATAGATCCAAGAAGCTCAGAGAACACCAACTAGGATAAAATGTTAGACAACAACAGCAGCACCAATACCAACAAAACCCCAAATAACCTATACTTATGTGTATCATTTTTATCATTTCATACTTCATATAGGTCACTGAAAAAAAAGCTTAAGGAGGCCAGAGAGAGAGATAGAAAAAAGAATACCTTACATACAGGGATGAAAAGATAATAACTGCAAATGATTCATCCAGGTTAGAGTACACTCATGAGAAATTGAATATTAGAATGAAATTATGTGGAAATTCTAAATATATATTTCATTTAAGCCTTTGTGATGTAGGGTTTTCTGGCACCCACAGCCAATCTCAAGCCTAATATAATTTTCAAAATAAAAATGTCAGTAGACATTCTTTATGAAACAAAACATTGAGTCCGTCTTTATGACAATTGTCCTCCTTTGAGGACAATTGCCTCATGTGGCAATGCCTCTCTTCAATGCTAGCATCCAAGCGTGAAATATAATAGTCCGGATGTGATGTGCAAGACCACGTCTACTGGCACTGTATGAACTCTTGAACTCAGCACCTGGCGGGCTGTTGAGAAGGGGTGGCCTTGTGAACCGAGTCTTTCAACCCCCTACTTGGCTGCTATAAGAATGAATCTTGGGACTTGAACATTTTCTATACAAGAGACCAAGAGTCCACATGGCCTGCATTGAACTGTTCACTTGACACCATTTATTATCTTTCCCCATTGCAAGCTCTTGTTCTGTTTAAGCTTGCTCATCCTATGGTACTTGCCTTCTGAGGAGAGAAAACAACTTCTGCTGCAGCCTAAGAGAGGTGTACATTGTCAATTGTCCTGTACCAGTACTTGGGAGACCACTGGGGACCAAATTTGACTTTGCTCTGTCTCTTTTTTTGTTTTATCCAGTGCTTGACTATGTTGTTTTACTTGGTGACTCCAATATTAGGATGCAATAGGTGAAATGTTTAGTGTCCTGCCCTGAGTTTGATAACAGTTTATGGTATTCTGCTTTGCAGATTAAATTGACATGGCCTTAAAATAAGCTCAAAATTCAGCCTAAGCCTGTTATAAATTAAAACTCATAATCATTACATACAGGTATCTGATCTCAAAATGTTCTTTGAATATGATGTTAGAGTGCAGATTCTACCATTCAGAGCATTAATGATTGTTGAAGAAATGAAACAACTTCCTGCTTCAATTTCCAATCTTCAACCAAGAATTATGATCTGATTGATTTTAGATAGAATTATGATCTGATTTTAGATAGATTTTGGATAGTAACTGGTGGTTCTGCTTCCAGTTTTGTCCCTATCAATCTATAATCTACAATGTAGTAAGAGTGACTTTCTGTAGTATGAACATGATTATGCTATCTCTGCTGATATGGACTGGCTCTACTTGGTTCAGAATGAAGTCCAAAGTTGATACCATAGAATATAAGACATTTTATGATAATTTTCTTTATCCTCTCAATTGGCCAGCCCATTCTTTGTTCCTTTGTCAGTACATTCCTCTCTCTTCTTCCTAATTTTGCAATGTCTCATTCTCTCTCTCTCTTCTCCACTTCTCCCCCAATCTCTCCTTGAAAAAGTCTGCTTTCTCCCTAGGTTTCAATTTGGATATTTTTTTTTGCTAGGAACTTCTTATGTTGTTCCATGTTCCCCTAACATCCACTTTTGATGTGCCAGTTACTTCCTTTATTACCCGCCAAATTTAATTATCCATTACATAATAATACTTCTCATCCTAATTCCATAAGGGCAGAAATTGTTTCTTTATAGTCCATTGTGAATATTGAATGTCTGAAGAACTTTAAGAAGACTTCTGCCTAAACTTAAATCCAACCAATCCCCATAAAAATGTGGATTCAAATTAAGCCCCATTGGAATAAGATATTGAACATATACTTCTTCTCACTCCACCTGAAACTGAGGAGTAACCAAACAGGTCATACTTGTCCTCACAGATCCAAAAATTGGTTTGCTGTATGTTTTCCAGGAATCACCACTAACAGTCTTGACACTGAATTGATAGGATCTCCCCGGACGAAGACCATACACAATGCGTCCTTCTGATTTTCTGTTGCTGTAGGGGTTGAAAACAGTGAGAGCATCTCTTGGTAGCCATTGCAGCTCAAAATCATTGTAGTCTGTCCAGTCAGGGGGTCCCTTCCAGGTGATGGCCAAGGATGTATTTGCAACATCAGCAAATGACAAAAGACTAGGAGGACTTGGGGCTGTGTGTAAAAGAAAACGAAAAAATAACACAATTGTGAACCCAACATATACACAAATAAGATCACTGAGAGGCATCAGACCTACTCATAATGTATATTGTAAGAAGAGATAATATGACAGCAATGGTAGGAGCTTTTGTATCTGCTATGTTTAAGGAACTATACTAGTGTTTTGATATGCCTTTTAAAATAGTCATAACCAGAACCTCCTTTCCAGGGTGCTGTCAAGCATGAATAGGCCTGAATGGGTTCCAAGTGTATGAAGGTCTTGATTCCATCAAATCTGGGGGCAATAGAAGTGGGCAGAGTTCATAGGAAATGATTCCCAGTTTTAGATCATATTGTTCATCGCCCCCAGTAGGGCATACATATATTATCTATGCCTGCCCAAGACACAAAAGCACTCAGGAAGCACATGTTAGAGCAGTACAGTGAAGATGCAATTTGTCTCTATTTTGCAGAACTGAAAACTGAGGCTTAGCGATGGTCAGTGGCCTGGATTCATACAGGTAAGTAGCAGTGCTAAACGAGGGACCCAGGTCTTTTTGCCCAAAAGTATGTTCTAGCCTTTGCAAGTTCTGGGGATAGATATATACTAGATACACACTCGCTATTCACCATTATTGATTTTATTTTGCATCCTGAAAGTGATTGTTTGAATACATCTTTAGAAGCCATTTCCCACCCATACTTCGTCATGCGTGACCTGGGCTTACCTGTTCTTCCCTCTCCCATGACTTTGTTGCTGAGATCTCCACTATGAGTTACCACACACAGCGTGTACTTCCTGCCAGGGATAAGGCCATGGAAACGCCACTCTGTCAGGTCTTTGTCTTTCCAATTTTCCTTTTTGGTTCCATTGGGATTGTAGAGAATCAATTCATAAAAATCAAAGTCCCCAGAGGCTGGACTCCAGTTGAACCAAAGGCTGTCTGTTAGGTTCCGGTTGGATCCCTTCAGTTGACTCACGGTGGCTGGGACTTAAACAGAAGAACAACTCAGGTCTATCCAACACAGAGTGAACAGATGAGAATACAAGGTTTGGTGGGTATACAGGTGAGTTGTGTATTGGAGAGTATTGGGAAACCAGTTGTGTATATTTCAGGTTCCTTACATCGTGAGGTATGTAGGATAGTGAGGTGAAATAAATGGAAACAAAGCAAGTGGTCAGTCTAGAAGCTGGCCATGTACTTCTTAATAAACAGGTGAAAAGAAATATTCACAAATCATGAATACTAGGCAAGGAGTTTTAGTTTATAAAAGACCCAAGGAATGTTCATAAATGATTCCAGCTCCACCTAGTTTGACCAATGATCTCTGACAATTTTATCATTATGTAAGTCAGCCTATCATGTTTATTTACATTTTATTATTCTTTTTAAAAATTTTTTTTGTCAGTCATGGGGCTTGAACTCTGGGCTTGGGCGCTGTCCCTCAGCTCTTTAACTCAAGGCAAGCGCTCTACCGCTTGAGCTGCAGCACCACTTCCTACATTTTATTATTCTTTAGACAATAGAGACTGTTGCTCCTTGTTGGGGAACTTACTCAGACTAGGCTGACTTCAAAATTATGATCTTCCTATCTTTCTAAATGCTGGGATTATAGGCATGAACTACTGTGCTGGGCAGGGGGATAATTAAACATTAATAGGGAGGTAATCCTTTACCTCCCTATGTGTACAGGGCAAGTTGGCTTGTGAATGGTAATAGCTATGTAATTCCACTTGTCCTCTGAGCCTATCACAGCTCTTTCATTCTTTCCAGAAGACAAACGGAATGTCTGTTATATAATCTTGGGGGTAGTTTCTTCAAAGAACTCCCTTCACCTGCAAAGAGAAATGTTCACTCTTTGTTTATAAAATTGTCTTTTCCTGCTAAGTTGATATCATGACATCTTGTTCATTTCATAGGATTTAAGGTGTCCCAACACCACCTTCCTCTAGAATCTGTTGCCTTGGCCTCTTCTCTCCCCTGGTTCAGAGCTTTCTGAGGTCAGGGGGTATTGTCTGTCTAGTTCCTTGATCATATCCAGTCAAACTCAGAGCCTGGCATATACAAACACTCAAAAACTAATGTCATGTGAGAGAAAACAGACGAATGGAACTGGATTTGTGGGGGGAAAAGCAATTTTGTTGCTTATTTGCAGTCGACAGATGTCTCTCTTTCATTTTATCTAGTTCTATGTTTCAAATTCAGAAGCGTTACTGTTTAATTTGCTACTGTTTGTTTAATTTGCACTTGCTTTCACTCCATGGACTTCTTATATAGGAAGCTGAAGGGCATAGCTTGAATCAAGCCACCATGGGTTAAATCTCCCTTGCACAGCTTGTCACCCAGTAGAAGAACCAAATTCAGTTTTCACCAAACCCTAGCAAATGGTTAGAGGAAAAGAGCAGGAACCAGTGCAAAAATTGGACACGAATGTTCGTGGAAAATCAAAGATCTGACTTGGGTCAAAAAACCTGATGGTCACAAATTTCTATAAAGCTAGTGATTATATAGCTTGGATAAGAGGAAACGCACAACAGATCAGGGAAGGGCCAGAGAATGTTATTGTGACCATTCCCTTGATGTTCATTCCGGCAGGGCTCTGGGTCTTACCTGTTCGACTGAATATGAAAGCCTCGTTAGACAGCTCCCCGCTGTGAGTGACAATCACCATCTTGTACATTCGGCCCTGCAGCAAGTTCTGAAAAGTGAAGCTCTGAACTGGTGGCTCAACTTGTGCTCTCTCCTGAAGTGTGCGGTCTGGGTTGTAAAGGAAGATGTTATACCAGTTGAGCTCCCCCTCGGAGGTGGTCCAGCTGAATGACAGGTGTCGAGTGGAGTTTTCAGTGATCCTCAGATTGGTAACAGCTGCTGGGACTGGAAAAATCAAGATGTGGGAGAATGAGGTCAAATTGCAGCATGTCCCTGACCCAGTCCAGGAGTAACTAATACCTGGGTGGATATGCTCAGTCTAGAAGACATAGTCTGTTTTGAAATATGTTGGTTTTCCACGGCTGTAAACAGCAGCCTCCCAAGTAGTGCCTACAGCCTGTTGCTGGTCATGGTTGCCCCTAGGGATGTTGGAGATAACCTTGTCCAGTGTACCTGCATGTCCCTGATGGCTTGCTATTCCCAATTTAGGCTCCAGACAGGGAAGCAAAGTGTGTTTGGGAAGCCCCAGGGCATGGTGGCTAGGGGTCACATTGGGCAAGTGGTCATGTCCATTCTATACCATGCTAGAGAACAGGAACTTGCGATTGAAGTTCTGTGCAGGTCTGTGTTCAAATTCCCTGGTCACTCAGAAGACTTACAATGAAAGAAGTGGAGATTTGCCAAGTTTAAGGGGAGGATTATGAAGACACACAAGGAGATTGAGAGCAGCTCACTCTTCGTGGCTGTGGGTTTAAATAAACTCCTAATCGTGCTTCCCTCAACAAGGGGCAGACTCTGCACTCATGATGGCTTCTCCCTAATCACACCCACCTCGAGTCCTGCTTCTTGTCAATAAAGCAGGGCCTTAGAGACCCCAAAGCAAAGAAATCTAATGATTGTAAATTATGGGTATGGTAACTATTAATTTAAAAAACTATTAATTCAATAGATACAGAGAAGCATTTAATACAATTGAATAACTCTTCATGATAAAAAGAAATTCTGAATAAATTAGGTAAGAAAGAGCATACATCAACATAATAAAGGGTATGTTTATATGAAAGCTTTAGCCAACCTTTTACTAAATGGGGAAAAGATGAAAACTTTCTACTAAGATCTGGAACAAGACCAAGATATTTATTCTCACTGCTCTCTGGAAATCATAGCCAGAGCCATTAGGCAAGAGAAAGAAATAAAAGATACCCAAGGGAGTCAAATTAACCCTGTGTTAAACTAATAAGCTGGTAATCAAAAATAAAAGGTTCACAGTAGGATTTTGCAAACTGTTTGGCCAACTGTTAGAAACAACCTGTGTCTACAATGCTGGTGGAGTTGTTGCTGATTCCTTGGAACTTGTAAGATACCAGTGGTAAATTTATTTTTAAGTATTTTTCTTTGTAATTATTAGGACTGTCTTCAATTCATGACTTCTTTTTCAGTGTTTAAAAAATGCTGTTTAGGTTTATTTATTTTTATTTTTTTAGTACTAGCACAGAGTCCACAAAGGTGAGGTAAGAAAGTAGAAAAGGAGATATGTCAACAGATACAGGGATTGAAGTAATACCATTGCTGGAAGGGGCCATGAGCCAAGGAATGTGGTAGGCCTGTAGAATCTAAAAAAGAGCAAGAAATAGATTCTCCCTCTCGACACCTGACACCTTTATTTTAGCTCCATTTTGAGTTCTAACTTCAAAAATATGCAATAATAAATTTGTGCTGTTTCAACACTTTGGCATTGCAAACTGACAATTGTATAGAAAAGGAATAGAGCCAGTTTTAAGGGGAAATATAATTGTGTATGATGGGCTAAAGCTGTGGGGCGAGGCTGCACAGGAAGTTCAGAAGATATAGAAACATTATGTCATGGTGAATGTTGCTTCTGTGTGAAGAAACAATCATCATTCTCATTATTGCTTTACCCCTCTTATCTTACATTAATACACAGTAGCCGACAATGAGATAGCTAGTAGAAAAAAACTATGTTGTGATAATTACCCGTTCGACCTTCAGCTTGGGCTTCCTTGCTAAAGAGGCCTCCACTAACAGTTAGAATCTGTATCTTGTATTTCTTGCCTGGTGTTAGATCTTCAAATTTGTGCTGTTTTGCAGTGGCTGGTTCTGAGATATTGCTCAGCAGGATCCCATTTTCATTTAGAAGCAGGATATCATATCTTTCTGCCATACCAACAGACTTTTGCCAACTTACTATTAAGGAATGACTGCTGTATGCATTGTCTGTAATTACTCCCTGAACAGAGGCTGGGACTACAGAGAAACAGAAAGAAAGGAGAAGATTCAGTTTATATCAGGGCAGGTGAAGCTGATTTAGCACTTAAGTCTTGAGTCAACAACACGTCTGTGTAGCTAAAAGGTGTAAGCATGCTAAACAAACTTACATTGCAATGAACAGCTTGGATGACTGAATTATGTATCATGTGTAGACTTTTATTTCCAACACAATTTAAGTCAAAGCTTCCAGCTTCAACTTAAGCAGTACCATGTAATAATATTTTCCCTACAACTCTGATGTAAAAGGCAAATTAATAGTATTAACTAATAATACTTTCCATTCTAGATTTCTTTTCTCATTCTATATGATCGCCATAGAAGACTGCCTATAATCCCATGGTTTAAGTTGTTGCCAGCATAAGGATCACTTCTAAATTTAAACTTAGTGTCCAGTCTCTCTTCTGGTTTTGCAAATTATCTCTCTCCCTACGAGTTTCACAGACACTCAACACTCTAGGGCCCCAACTAGAACTCTCCATTCCCATCTTCAACTTTCTTCTTTTTCTTTTCTTTTGTTTCCAGACAGAGCCTTGGCTATGTAACCCAGGCTGGCCTTAGACTCCCAATGAGTGCTGAGTGCTGAGACATCATGCATGTGTTACCATGCTCAGCTCCCTCCTCCAGCTTTCTTAGTGTCCTTTGTTCCTCTCTCTGGACTCAAGTCACAAATAGGTTGTCATTGTCTTCTATATATAATCAAGCACAAGTCGTAAAATGTCTTTGTCTAAAATCCTGTATCCTTTGAATCAGTCTACTTCCCCTTCTTTCCTATTACTGCCTTAGGATAAAAACATCTCTGATCTACCTGACTGCAACAGCTTTGTCTTACTATTTCCACTGCTTCATACTCCACACCATACCCAGCATATTCTCACAGCACTCCCTTGTCAAGGGCATGTAAGTGGCTCTCTGTAATTCTACAATACCTCACCCAGGCATACAAGGCTCTTCATGATTTGCTTTATTTACTTGCTTGGCCAGCTGGCTCACATCCTTTATTCTAGCACATTAAGCAGCACATGGTTCTCAATTGTGCTAAGCTTTCTCTCTTCTCTAGGACTTTGCTTTTTCTGCTGGGACCAAATTAACACACTCTCTCTCTCTCATATATATATATATATATATATATATATATATATATATATCCTAGATAGAAGACTTCTTAGTCTCTGTTGACATATTACTGTCTCTGGGAAGCTAGCCCAACTCTTCTTTTTCTTCCTATAACATCCTGAAATTACCTTTATTTTTTATTTACAACTTTGTACAGTTATGGTTTACTTATTTTTTATTGCTTTATTAGATTATGAAGTTCTTGACATCAATGCTCTATCTCGCTACTGAATTCTGACTTTGTTGAACTCAGTGCTTGGACACGAGGGCAAGCTTGTCAACACATTGATAGTACATCTATGCAAGTGAAATACAGACATAGTAGGGCATGAAATAGAAGGCCCTAAACCCACAACTACATGAATGGTCACGAGAATGGCATGAGATGATCATATCACAGTAGTTAGAACATGAAGTTTGGTGCCAAATATACCTAGACTTGAATTATGGCTGTAGATCTCATTTCATTTATTTTTGTAAATGTATCTTGAGTTTTCTGAGTTTTACTTTCCTCATCTATAAGATGGAAATCATAACCATTGATTGGTTATGATTCGGTAGTGTGATTTGGTGTCATTTTACATTTCTGGCTATTGTAGTCATTTATTTTTGTTTTTAACATAACATACTATGAGTGATTTGCCATTTACAATGACCTTCCTTTTGATTAGCAAAATCTCCATGAAAAAAGAAAATGCAAAATAAAAGAAGAAGAAGAAGAAAGGTTCTTGAACCCACAGCAAAGTGTACATACTTGGGGAATTTTAAATTTGGAAATACTTTGATTTGTGAACAGCTAAGCCCATTTGCCATCCCATTGTGGGGACGCGCAGGGCAGTGTATACTGTGGACCTCCCTAGGTCACAGGTGCTTACCTGTTCGTCCAAGTGCATCTACCTGGTTCTTCAGGGACCCACTGAGTGAGGCAATAGTGATCAGGTATTGTTCTCCGGCCTCCAGTCTGTGGAATGTGTGTTCAGAGATGTGCTTAGGGACAGTCTGGGACTCAACCTTCTGATTCTGCCTGAATGCTGACACCACATATGAGTCTATATCTCCACTGCCAGGGGTCCAGGTCACTGTCAAGCTATCTGTTGCTCCATTGGGAGAAATGTGAATATTTTTGACAGCACTAGGAACTGAAAAGAAAAGAAAGTGAAAAGCAATCAACTTAGAGAAAAAAACTGTAGGGGAAAAAACTGGAAAAACAAAGTTGTCACGCAGTGTTGAGGGGGTCATTTCATCCATAGTACTGTCAAAAAAATGGTCAAAAATTGGCCTGTAGCTGGGTAGTAGTGGCTCATGCCTATAATCCTAGTTACTCAGGAGGCTGATATCTGAGGATAGTGGTTTGAAGCCACCCTGGTAGGTAAATCCAAGAGACTGTTACCTCCCATTAACAAGAGAGGGCAAGGCTCAAGTGGTAGGGTGTGACCTTGAGTTAAAAAGCGAAGCAAGATCTAGCAGCTCTGAGTTCAACCCCACTACTAGCACAAAGGAAAATGTCATGCTTTTTATGTTTCACCATCTATTGAAAGAGTATGCATGAAAAAGGGTCAATTTTACATTTTTTCCTTTATTTTTTTTCTTTCAGATGTGGAACTTGAACTCAGGGCCCAGGTGTTGTCCCTGAGCCTCTTTGTGCTCAAGTCTAGCACTCTACCACTTGAGCTACAGTGCCACAAAGCCAGCCTGTGCTGGCTTTGCACCATGATTCTCAGATCTTAGCCTCCTGAATAGCTAGGATTACAGATGTGAGCCACTCACATCCGGCTTTCCTTTACTTTTAAACTGCAGATGAAGGAAGTTGAGAGAGAGAGAGAGAGAGACAGAAACAGAGATAGAGACAGAGAGACAGAGACAGAGAGATACAGAGACAGAGACAGAGACAGATAGAGACAGAGAAAGACAGAGAGAGACAGAGAGAGACAGACAGACAGAGAGAAACAGAGAGAGAGACAAAGAGAGAGACTAATGAGTGGAAATAAAAAATGCCAGCAAGGGGCTAGTTAGAATGCTTCCATCCCAATCTTGGTTTTCTTATTTACTACCTATGTAATAATAAGCAAATTATAAAATTTTGTTTCTATTGAACAAAATGCAGATATAAAAAGATCTGCTGTGAATCTAGTCCATGGTAACCCCAATAAATATGAACTATTATAGCAATATTGTTTAAAAATCCCCAAAGAAGGGACATACCCACAAAAGCTTTTTAAATTAAAATACAAGATACAAGTCAATGTTATTTCTCCCCTACAAAGTATTTCACTTTTGTTAATCTTGCTTGAACAGTATCATTACCATTATCAAGATAACTCTCTCCTTCTTTCTATCTCTTATTCCTTCAAATCTTGTCAAAATACTTGGGCTACCCACTATGTTAAATACATCTCCATTCATACTGGGGTTCAAGAACAGTATTTCAAATTACCTGTTAAACCTTCAATGAAGGCTGACTGTTGTACGTCTCCACTGATGGTCAAGACAAGAATCTTGTACTGGCGCCCTGGCGTTAGGGAGGTAAACCGAAACTCTGTTGCAGTATTTATCAGGTGAAAAGGAGGAAATACTTTCATGTCATTGAAAAGGAGCTGGATCTCATACTGGTCCACATCCCCATCAGCTGGTGACCAGGTCACGTACAGGTCTTCAGTGCTTCTGTTCTGCAGTGTTAGATCCTTTACAGGCTCTGGGACTAGGGAGAAAAGTGAGAAATCACATCAGGGAAGAACCTGATCAAATTTACTTATGCAATCATTTATGAAATCACGTTCAAGGAACTGGAAAACATCTCTTTTCTCCAAATAAACCACTTGAGTTACTTCATGCACAATGAAACAAGAAAAAAATTGGAAGCACCTATTAGAATTGTGATTTTTCCCTTACAGAAATCTTAGATGCTACACATTGGTAGGATATAATTACAAAAAGAGTTATGATCTCAATCATACGATACAATGAGAAGTCTGGAATTTTAATGCCTCTATGCAAGAAGAGATGGAAGACAAATTGAACATTGGGCCTTCTTACTCCCTTACCCTGCTCACTTTTATCTACCAATAAATATTCTGTCATTATAAGCCATAGTTTGTCCAAATGATGTTAGATACAAGTGAAGCTTAAAAGGAATGCAATGTACAAATCAGTAAACAGAGAAAATTCAAGATGCAGACAAATTATTTAGCCAATGCCTTTAAGTCCAGCCATCAGCAGCTTTTACAAATCTTTCCACTTACTTGTTCTTCCATTCCCTTGTTCACTGGCTTCATATTGCCCACTTTTTGTACTAACAGTGACACTGTACAACCGTCCAGGGATGAGCTGAACAAATACACACTCGTTTTCTGACTTGGGAATGTTCTTGGTTTGAATGAAGTTGTGTTTGTTTTTAATGGTGACTTCATAATGATCAAAATCTCCTGCGGCATGCACCCAGGACACCTTCAAAGAATCACTCCTGGCAGAGTTGCTAACACTGACTCCTTGGACCTTGTTGGGCACTGAAAAAGAGAACAGAGAACAACCTCTCATAAATGGAAAACTAGGAGGGTAAAGAAAAACAACTAGATATTCACCGCACATAAAAAACCCAACCCTTCAACCTCCAGATCACAGGTTTCTGAAGAGGGAAGATTGTTCAATTAGTTGAAGTGGTTAAATAAGTCTCTTAACTGAATCTGAAGAGTGCATTCTAATCCTGCTGTTTGCCTCCACAAAACATCATGTGTAAGATAAAGAATGTTAAAAATAGTAACTAGTATGCTTACTATGAAGAGGGTGAAGATATTAATAATTGCAACCCATCTTAGAGACTCTAGATGTGATTAAAAAGTTACCAAGCAAAGTATAAATAACCCAAAAGGAAGATGGAAAAAGAAAAAACCACATCTGTTTTATTAAGATATAAAGAAATGATCCACATCATTAATCTCAAGGAAATAATAATGAAGACCATAGTAAAATAACATTTTGCATTCATTGACCAGCAAAATTTAAAAGCCTTGTTAAACCAAGTGAAGGTGAGGATGCTCTGATCAGATTAATTGCAACTATATGCAGGGAAATGTTACATAATAGGCAACAGTTTTCTTTTTTTTTAATTTTAATTTTTTGTGAACATACTGTACAGAGGGGTTACAATTACATGGGCAAGATAATGAGAAAACAGTTTTCTTCTTGTTGACTCACGACATAAAAAATGTGGATTTCTTGCCCTTCACATCACACACAAAATAATCTCAATAGTATAATGACAGAAAAATCCAAGTTCTTCCAAAGATGACATGTTATATTTAAAACACCTCTTTTTTGCACAATGTTAGAACAACTAAAAGTTTCTTTTTAAAAAATTCATAGTTTTCGGACTAGACATGGATGCAACAAAATGATGTAAGATGAAAGCAAGAGAGAGACGAACGTGAGTCAAGACCCTGGGATGGGTTTGAGAGGTGATAGACATTATTGTATAAATCCTAGCGTTTACATTAAGCAGCAGTTTCTCATGTACATCTTGAAAAATATCTATAACTACCAACTAGATGTCCTATACAATGTAAGTGGTAATTTGCTGCATTATTTTCTGAACCAAGGACATTTTTTGAATAATGTCTGCAGTTTTGTCCACCTGAGGCTCTTCCCCATAAACAAACAACCTATATATCCAGTTTCCCCTTCCAAGCCACAGTAAAATAGCAATTTCAGTTTTGGCATCTAAGCTACATTTTCCACAATGTTTATACATTTCATTAACACTTTTGTTACTTTTGTATTAATTCTATTTATATTAGAACATAGCTCATCATAGCAAGAGAAGTTTGTTTGTTTTTCTTCCCCCTCTTGATATCTAAAATGAATTAAAGTTTGGTTAGAATTTAGTGACTGCAGAGTTAAGACATTGTACATGTGGGCTACGAAAGGTCAACAATCCAAGCAGTTTACTGAAGGCAAAGTAGTGATGACAGTAAGGACAACTAGACTGAATACCATGGTAAGTCAATAAAAAGTCTCTCCAGGTGGAACTGGAAGTGCTTTGCAAAACCTGCCTTGCTGCATAGTGAGACGAGGTGACACAGAATTAGACATACTGCTATTCTCACCCAAAAGCTTGAAGAAAAGCATTAGAAAAGAGAATTAAGATAATCAGCCAAAATCAATAAGACAACAATTTAGGCACAAGTTAGAAATTGTAAAAATCATTTGCTTCTGATGGTTTGCACCAAATCCAAGTTTGTACTGCTAAAAGAATCAAGAGGGTGCTTTGAAAGAGAATTGCTTTTCTTACCTTGAGGAGCAGTCTTAATGAAAGGTCTTACATTATTAAAGTCAGAAATTGGTAATGTTAATGAATAAATGTTGATGGGAAGCAAGGGGTTAGAAAGTATGTGATATATCCTTAATTTGTACTGATTTTTAGATTCAGTATAAATTGACCTATGTGAGACTTTCACATAAGTCTGCTTTGTAAGTAGAAATCAGCTTTTCACATTGAAGTCCTGACTGTGGTTATCAGTATAATTAGAATGTAGATGATTTGATAGTAGGGATAATCTCTCTGTATCCCTGACAATGCTCTCAAGTATGGCTCTGAAAATAGTCAACCATGTGACCTCAGAGAAGTCATACTTTTGGGGATTTTTTTCTCCATATGAGAAGATGGGAACAGATTATTATGAGGGCTAATTCAATTCAAGCATTCTGTAATGATGTAAAGCAGTAGTTTTGGGGAGAACTATAGAAACTACAAAATTTGAAAGCCTTGGACTCTCTCTCTCTTTCTCTCTCTCTCTGAAGAAATGTACATGCTTTTCCTATCTCTTACAACTCAATGGGTAATTTTACAGTTCTGAAGTCCACTCATGGGCCACCAGGGGAAAAACCCTCATCCAAGTGATTTCTGATTATTCATATAGCACACACTTGCTAAGTATCTACTGGACCTCAGACATTGTGTTAGACAGTAAGATGAGGCCTGTTATCTCAGATCTTCATGGAAAAAGAGACATTTTCACATGCAAAAATCAATCCAGAACTCAGTAGGAAAGACTTGACAAAATATTGATATCAACCTTAAGCAGAAATCTCAGCTGTACACCCCAGAAAGCATAAATGGTGGCTGTCTATATTTAGTTCTTTCTAGCACATCAGAGGCCTGACATTCATTTGCTAAGACTTTTGATTCCTAGTCTCAGAACTATAAAGGTCCGCATTGTCATCTGTGAAAATCTCTTGACCAACATTATTTTTCAGGAAGGATTTTAGAACAGAGAGAGAAAGAGAAATACAGAGAGAGAGAGAGAGAGAAATAGAGGGGGGAGGGAGCTTTGTAGCTTTGCAATGGATTAGAACTAAGTTTAATTCCAGGATATTTAATAAGGTTAACAATTGGGTAATTTTTTTACCTTCCTGAACCTGGTTTCCAAATCTGTAAAATGGGATTTTTTTGCTGGGGGGGGGGGAGTTGGTTGTGGGGCTTGAACTCTGGGCCTGGGCGCTGTCCTTCAGCTTTTCAGCTCAAGACAAGTGTCTACCACTTGAGCCACAGTGCCACTTCTGGTTTTCTGATGGTTAATTGGAGATAAGAGTCTCATGGACTTTCCTACCCAGGCTGACTTTGAACCGGGATCCTCAGATAGGCCTCCTGAGTAACTAGGACTACAGGTATGAGCCACCAGCGCCCAGCTAAAATGGGATTTTTTTGTGACTTTTTCAAGCAAGAAGTTTCAAAAGATGGGCTACTTAATACATGCAAAGCCAGGTTCTGAGAACCAAAAATACTCCCTAAACAGAAATACTTGTTACATTACTTGAATATCATATGAATTCTAGTGACAAAAAGCTTCCCATATAGGTTATCAGCAGGTGGTTCTTGAGCCAAAAGGACTCACTAACAATTTTGTGATCTCAGCTTCCTTTCTTCCTGTCTCCCTGAAGTGTCCTGAGCCTCACTGGTTGGTTCTTAGGAAGTCCAGAGTCTTCACACATCCTTACCTGTCCTCTCTTGGCTGAAGGAATGATTTTCATATTTGCCACTCCTGGTAGCAATGGTCACATTGTAGAGGCGGCCTGGGGTGAGCGAGCTGAAGGAACATTCACTGGCAGACTTGGCAATGACGAGAGACTGAACCACTGTGCCCTCATGGGAGAGTGTCACCACATAATTATCCACATCTCCAGGTGCCGGCAGCCAGGAAACTCTGAGGTAGTCATTTCGACCAGAATTGTTCACTGTCACTCCACTTACACTAGAAGGAACTGTGGTTTCGAAAAAGGGAGGGATTAAAAATAGACACACACAATCAAAAGTTCAAGTCACTTATTGTGGGGGGTAAGGGTGGGGGAATCAAAAGCTGAAGATTAAGGAGAATTCATGTGATTACAGAGGAGATCAAGGAAGAGTGAGGATTTTACTTCAGCCACTGGAATCCAGAAAGCTAAGCAATGCTGAAATGCAAAGAGGCCTTTGGATGTCTCTGAAATACAAGCATGTGGCGATTACATCTTTATGGGGCTGCTATTTTAAGTGAAGGTATTTTTATGTGAATTTGTCAGGAATTTCCCTAGAGAAAAGTGAACACACATTTTAACAGTCCAAATGCATCAACTTGAAGCAACATCACCAATAAAGCAAAGGTGTTGGTGATAAAAGGTAAAGAATTGAATAGCTTTTCTAAAGATGTTAGAGTCTGGTAACATCTTCCGTCTTCTGTGATGAAATCATTCCTGGGGAGTTTAACAGCTAACACAAACTCCAGGTACCTGTTTTCCCTTTGCAAAGCATTTTCTGCCCTCTAGTGGTAGGAAACAAGCCTAAAAGTCTAGCCTGGACTCAGTACTAAGTCTGGAGTCATTCACTGTTAATGGTGATATTGGTCTGGTCTTTCTAATGTCAACTGTAACTGTTTGCTTGTATCAGTTGTAAATCACTGCCACAAACATTTACTGATAACCTACTAAGTACCAGATATACAAAATTGGTAAAGAAATGAATACACTTAGGAGAGTATACAGATGGAAATCAGGAATTGTGGTTTTGAATAAAATTGTCTTGAAGTATCTAGTAATCAGCTCTGCCATTAGTGAATATCAGAATAAAATTCTACATTATGTAGGACCTGCACTACTGTTTTTAATCATAGTTACATCAGCTGATTATTTCCATGCAATTGTCACTTATGAGTACATCATATATAATGGACAAGATTTGGCTAAATGGCTCTCACACTCCTAATCTAACAGTGACCTGATTTTGTAAATTAAGACTCAAAGTCTACTTCACATAAAATTTTTACAACAGGACTCGCAGAACAATGGGGCAATGAGTAGCGGGTGGCTAGGCAGGGTATATCTGGGGCAAAGATAAAGAAGATTGAAAACTTGAAATAGACTATTGGCAACTACAAAAATGTAACAAGGAAACCTGTTGAGGGTACTATTTCTTAGATGGAAGGATACAGGGATGGGAGAGAGGGGATAAAATTAATTGGAATGGAGTGTAAACATGTGTGACAATGTAACAGTGAAATCCCTGTATGCATGACTGATATAAACCAATACAAAAAAAGAGTGAGGAGAAAGAAGATTCCAGGAAAGACAGATGGCAGTGTCTTCAGCCACAGAATGGGACAATGAGCCTACAACAGTAAATTTCTGTCAAGATCACAAAAATCCTTTTCAATAATTTAGTTGCTCTTCTACTGCTTTATAAAAGTAACGTTTTTTGAGTTTGTTAAGTGGGGAAGTTTCATGCTTTTAGAAAGAGAATGTCCACAACTATTAATTAGTCTTAGGGTGTTGGGGATAAAGAAGAATCCCCCAAACCCAACTTAACAATTATGTAAAATCAAGTAGGCAAGATCAGAGACCTGATTGTGAATTCACCAATAGCTATCAAAGCTTCTGTTGAGTTTATTTAATTTTTTTCCTAAGGAACTGGAATGCAAATGTCAAATATTATATGAAATAACATAGTGTGTTATTATGTTTATGTATTTTAATTACATTAGGTAGAAAATCATATTTCCTTCTTTGATGCCATATCTCTCTGATATATATATACACATATATACATATATGTGTGTGTGTATATATCTCTATCTATCTATCTATCTATCTATCTATCTATCTATCTATCTATCTATCTGTAGTTGCAGTGACACTAATTTGAACATTTAGCTCTCTGGCCCTGTTTGACAAGTAATATTCAAGTCAGGATCATTATTTATATGGCAGGTAGTATTGAGCATTTGCTTAATGTTGCTTATAAAAACATATGAGACTTTTATCCAAGAGCAGTGGCACTTGCCTATAGTCCCAACTAAGAACTAAGGAAGGATGGCCAACTTAAACTCAGGTAACTTGAGGCAACATAGCAAGTCTCTCCTCTCTCCCTCGCTCCTCCCCCCTGCCACCTGGTGTGTGTGTGTGTGTGTGTGTGTGTGTGTGTGTGTGTGTGTGTGTGTGTGTATAGACTACTTGAAAGCTATATCAACTCAACTTTTGTGAATTAATGAGAATCTTCCCATGTTTTGAAGCCAAGGATGTGAAAAGGAGTGGAAGATATCTCATTACTTGTTTCTGTTAAGAGGGACATAAACATTTCAAAAGAAATCAACTGAATGAGAGGATAAGTTTAGGTATCAAATGATTATCACACTATTGTGAAACTTCATCTAGGCCAGGGCACTGGTAGCTCATGCCTGTAATCCTAGTTACTGAGAAAGCTGAGACCTGAGGATCACAGTTCACAGCTATCCTGAGACTCTTACCTCCAATTAACCACCAGAAAACTGGAAGTGGAGCTGTAGCTCAAAATGGTAGCGTGCTAGCATTGAGGAAAAGAGCTCGGGGACAGCTCTCAGGCGCTCAATTCAAGCCCCACAACCAAAAAAAAGAAAAAAAAGAAAAAGAAAAAAATAATCTAGAAGCTCTGAAATGTTTGTGTAATTCAGTATTCTCTCCCATCTTTGTGCATCAGCCAGCTTTCCCGTCATTCCAGTTACTGTCTGGATGGTATTGACAACTGACTTTTAGGAAGGAAAGAAATGGGCTTGCTTTTTAGGATCAGTTGATGGTCCAGGAGCGTCCATGAACTCGGATGTCTGTAGGTTACAGACACACACATCTCTACCTCTTACCTGTTCTTCCCTCCACCACCACTTGCCGGGAAGCGATCCCTCCACTCACTGTCGTCACCACCACAGAGTAGAGGCTGCCTGGTTTGAGTGAGTGAAAGCTGTATCTGTTGGTCTCGCGGGACACACTTTCATTTTTGATGACCACATTTTCGTGGATCAGTAAGACTTGGTAAAATTCTATGTCTCCTTGTGCCTTGGTCCAGTTAGTGAACAGACTATTGGTCATTCCTTGATTGGCCACGTGTAAGCCAGTCACTTGAGCTGGTACTGAAACACAGGAGACAGAAGACAAAGCAAATTATACTTGGTTACCATAAGTGGGTATGAGAAAAAGGAGTCAGAAATGGAGGCTGGCTTGAAAGTATTAAGAATAAATATAGGGTTTTGCCATAACCTCCTCACTCTGTTTCCTGTGGCACACGGGCAACCATTGTCCTGTTGCTTGTATGGAAGATTTTAATAAAGTGATTTAGGACCCCAAAATGACACGATACATGCATATTATTTTATATTTATATTATATCATATTATTTTAGAAATATTTTATACTATATTATACTGCGTATACTTAGTATTTAATTTAAATACTTAATACTTTAAATATTAAGTCTTTTTATTTAAATTCTAAAGGCTGTTGTTTTTAATATGACCTTATATGTTTCCACTCCATAAGAATTCAAAGCTCTGTGAGCTACTTAAGCCAAACCTATGTGATCTATTTATGGTCTAGCAGACAAATGACTCCCATCTGGACACATTCTCAAAAAGGCGATTCTTATGAAACATGTTAATCCTACAATAATATAATAAATGATAGCATATAGAAAAATAATGATTATAATTATAACCACTGCCAGTTATGTGCTAAGTGACTTCTAGAAGTTATATGATTTGATACTCATCCAAAGCTCTATAAAGTTCATTTTCTTCTTCCCTTTACTAGTGAGTACAATGCAAGTACTTTTAGCTTCTATCACAGTGCTGACAAGTTAGCAAATTGGGACCCACTGTCACATGTGTGTAACCATGTAAGCCTCTGACACCTTTGCACTAGCAGACTCTTGGCACTTCCAACTTGTCCATTAACCAATCTTATACACAGACATGAAAATTGGCAATTGGTTGTAGTATATTTCACTTTGTGCCTCTTCCTTGCATTATAGTAATCAGACAAAACTCTAGCATCCTTCTTAAAAGTTCATTTACTTTTAGATTAAGATAGAGACATTCATTTAAAATGCTTACTATCAATGGATCAGCAGATGTCATTCCAATGTTAAATTTTATAGAGAAAGCAAAATAACTACAATAACTAAAACAACTGTGGGAAAATAAAGGACAAAGTTGAAGGATTGAAAGCACTAGGTTTCACTAGTAAGCTATGATTAACAAGACAATAGAATACTGGCAACAGGCAGATGGACACACATATTGATGAAATGGCATCAACAATCCAGGCTAAGACCAGTAAGTACAGAGTCAATTATTTTCTTTTACATATATGTCTTTGCATTAAATGGAGAAATTGATTGTTCCCTAACAAAACCCTAGAATGGTATTTTTCAATGTTTTAAGAGCAAACAACTTCAAACATAAAACTGAAACAGAAGAAAATATCTTTCAAGGGCTAGTGGTATAACTGAATACCTATCCAATCACCACCCAAAACTAGCAAACGAAAACCAAACAAAATGTAAGACTGAAGGTTTAGAGCTACAGAAAGACATATCCAAAACAAAAGTGGAGAGACTGCCCTCCTAGAAACTCTCACAAAGAAATTTGAATAATTTCCTGTATAATGAAGGATAATATACCCCAAATGAAACTTCTGAGATACAGAAAGAAAAGATGAAGGAAATATGTTAAGTTGGGAGACACGTGTAAAGACCTCTGCACTATTTAACACAATTATAATATCATTTGTGGAGTTTCAAAGGCAGAAATAAAACAGGGTAAAAATACCATATGAATTGAAATGGGAACTCTTCATGAAGGCACTACTTCTTGTTTTGCTGAGCAAATGAGAGCAATTCTGAGACAACAGCTTGACATAGTATCTATCCACCTGTTGGTGCCTGTAGCCATTTACTCCCCTTCCAGCTAACATGGAGGTAAAATCAGTTCTGTTCCTTGTCTTGTGGCCTCTATTCATCCCTTTTACCTACTCACAGAATCACAGTAATTTTTGCCTTTCTTTACTCCATCATCATATTCTCTATTCTTCTAGATTATTGCCATCAGCATAAAAACATGTTCTTATTTCTTCGATTAAAAATAATCTTCCTTTCAACCATTCTCTCTTCTCAGTGCCAATTTCTCTGTTTTCTTTGCAACAAAACTTGTTGGGAGGATTATTCACTACTTTATTTAAATTTTAGTAAAATAAAACCCAAGCACAATAAAAAGAACTATTGTAAAACAAATTTAAAAAAGCAAAACAGAAAGAACCCACCCTCACCAAATGCTAATAGATACCACACCCAATTGGCATAACAAGAACTTTGTAAACATTTGTAAGATGCACGTTAAATCCTTCAGCAGGAAAAACACTGTAAAATCTAAAATTTGCAAAGGTAATTACCTGTTCTTCCTTTTATTGAAGAGGAATTTTTTAAGTCTCCACTAATACTGGTGACAGTGGCTGTGTATTTTCGGCCGGGCTCCAGGTCCGTGAAAGTGAATTCTTTAGCGTCTTTGGAGAGTGATTTGTGGATGAGTAAGAGTTCTCTGTCAGCTAGTGAAATGATATATCTCTCCCATTCTGCTACAGGTGTCTGCCACATTATGCCCAGTGAAGATTCATTGGCATGTTTGACACGAAGCTGGAGGACAGCCAGGGGGACTGAAGAAAAGGAAAGGTCATTGATTGACTCCACATACTGTCCTCTTGGAATACTTACGGAACAGTTCTTAGAAAGCTGATCTCTTCTATTCTCAGAAGTGTTCCTCAGAACATTTTTTTCTCCTGATTTTTTTTTGTGTGTGGGGGGAACTGGTAGGCCTGGGCACTGTCCCTCAGCTCTTCAGCTCAAGGCTAGTGCTCTACCACTTGCGCCACAGCGCCACTTCTGGTTTTCTGGTGCTTAATTGGAGACAGGAGTCTCACGGAGTTTCCTTCCTCAGGCTAGCTTTGAACTGTGATCCTCAGATCTCAGCCTCCTGACTAGCTAGGATTACAGGTGTGAGCCACTGATGCCTGGCTCCTGAATGTTTATATTAGAAAAAAAATTACAAAAAACTTTATAGAACATCACCAGAACTATGAATTGAAAAGAATGGGAAACATCATTGGAAAAGTCATTTAGTTTGATCACATATTACTTTGAGCTTATCTTTCCCTACATATTCTGTGATACAAATGTATTTTAACACATCCTCTCATGCACAACCCCATAAAGAAAAGTCTACGTTTAGTATCAAAGTGGAGTGGAAAGTACTTGTTACCCTATAGCTAAGAAAGACTATGTGCTTCCTCTTTCATTTCTAGGCAGGAGCTACTGCTGGGTGAGGAGAAGGAAATAATAGTATATGATTAAGGAATCCTTTGTGCAAGCATTCAAAATTGCTTCCTTTTTTGGAGGAATTGCCTCCATTTCTTTGCAAGATTTTATTACAATTTCTAGGACATACTTCTCAGAGTAAGTGTTGATCCCACAACACGAGAGGGAAGACAAATTCTAAAAAAAAATCAAGTATGTAAAATTACATTGTGATTTTTTTCATCAAGAGAAATTTCTGTTATTCTACTGTTTTTTCTTCTTTAATATATAGATTTTATGTACTGATTTGAGGATGTACACTAAAGCCTACTTTGAGTAACTTTATTCATCATTGGAAGCTCAGTTTATGAAAATTTCTCCTCAGAATTATGCTACCACGAGGAGACTCTACAAATCCCTTGACCTTACGTTTTCAATGTATTTGAATTAAGTGATATAATATCTAGGAGGCCAGTGACACCTCTCCTGTGAACATTGAACACACCTAAGTCTTTGACCATGATCAAGAGATCACTGGAAGACACCATTGCAAAGTTATGGAGATAATGATCATTTCATTTGACATTCTTCTAATAAAGAGTATTGAATCAACACAATTATTTCCTTATTATCATCCAGGATTAATAGAGAAGACATCTGAATTTCACTCTATATGTGAAATACTCCACATCACAGGAATGATTATAAAAATATTATTGAGGAAACAAACTTGCAGAGATAATGACTTGCCTAAGGAATTGTAATCTATACTGGAGACAGCAAGATATCAAGAGCCATGTATCACTGTCTTTAATCTCTCTTCCTTAATATGCAAACATATTTTTCTCTATTACAAATTGACTCTTGCTATCTGAAATCTTCATCCTAGTCAATATAAGATTAAGGCAGTTGATCTACCAGCACTTTCCTTTCAGAGGACAGGTTAGTCTTTATTCTTAGATTATACTCTTCCTCTTATTTTGGCATCAAAATCTTTTTAAAGAAAATAATGGAGTTAGTAGTGGAAAGAATTTGTTGTGTGTGTGTGTGTGTGTGTGTGTGTGTGTGTGTGTGTGCGCGCGCGCGCCATTCTGGGGCTTGAACTCAAGGCCTGAACCCTGTCCCTAAGCTTCTCTTTGCTGAAGCCTAGT